TCGTGTGAGTGGTGTGCTGTTTCGTGTGAGTGCTTTTTTTCGAGCGTGTGTGCTTTGTTTCGTGTGAGTGTATGTGCTTTGTTTCGTATGAGTGGGTGTGCTTTGTTTTGTGTGAGCGTGTGTGCTTTGTTTCGTGTGTTTATGTGCTTTGTTTCGTGTGAGTGTATGTGCTTTGTGTCGTGTGAGTGGTGTGCTGTTTCGTGTGAGTGCTTTTTTTCGAGCGTGTGTGCTTTGTTTCGTGTGAGTGTATGTGCTTTGTTTCGTATGAGTGGGTGTGCTTTGTTTTGTGTGAGCGTGTGTGCTTTGTTTCGTGTGTTTATGTGCTTTGTTTCGTGTGAGTGTATGTGCTTTGTGTCGTGTGAGTGGTGTGCTGTTTCGTGTGAGTGCTTTTTTTCGAGCGTGTGTGCTTTGTTTCGTGTGAGTGTATGTGCTTTGTTTCGTGTGAGTAGGTGTGCCTCGTTTATCTTTAAAGGCTGACAATTATCTCGATATCCTCGAAAACCAATCTTTATTTAATAATCATAATTAACGCCAAAAAGTTGCAAGCACTATTATACAAAGTTCATTACTAGAATGCCAAGACTCAATTTTCATGTACATTCCATAACAATCCCTACCGAACTAGTTGTAAAAACAATCAACTACTGTCCCAAATGTATAAATCACTTTATTCTTCTAATATCCCAATACTTTACAAACACGAATTTACAATGCATGTGCGTTTATAAATTAAATAATTACAAAACTGTTTTTTAATTACTTACATGTTGTTTAATTAAATAAGATTTTTTTGTCCAAAAGGGATCAAGTATGAAGGAAATTCATTGGTATTACATCGTTGCTTTCTTAGTCTAACTACCTTTGCCATTTTGATTAATTTCAAAGACAGAGTGCTAGTATCCTACCTATAAGCGCTTGATTTGGTACAGACGAAGAGTAAAGGAAAAGAAATGCCAAACGAATGACAATATTCATGTTAAAGAAAACGGATATCACGAAGAAATGATTGCGCAAATATATATAAGTTATTGCTAATCTTTGTGGCTTGTGCTATAATTATCTACATTGTTATTTCCCTACTGTCTTTGCTGATCTACATATATCATTGCTGATGCCATTGGCTGGAGAAAGTTTGCTGGAAGTGATGTTACTTTGTCAAGAATGGTAGAGGTTATATTGTTCAACCTGTTAATAAAACCAAGGAAAATGTTAGTCATTTATCTCTGTGATCCCATTTCAAAAACTGGGTGCTTTGGAAGAAATAAATTATCAATATTAAAAAAGAAATCAGGGACTGGTGTCCTAGTACTGGTGTCCTAGTTTATCTATAAAGCACTTGGTTGTCATAAAACAATCAAAAAGCTTAAAATCACTGGTTACGTTCATTATTTTAGTTCAAATATTACATTTTAGCTTTATACAGGGTTCTAGAGCCAAATATAGCTATACAGCATTCATAAATTCAGTACCATATACATAGACAATAAGCTGCTCCTGCAATATTGCAAAGTCCCTCAAGTATGCAACTATCATCATTTTTTTGTCTTACCAATCTTTCTGTTCTTGTGGCAACTTCGGGACAGCATCTTTTCCTGAAACATTCAAACTTGACTTCAAGGCTTTAAAATTTCCTTCAATATTCTTCTTGTAATCAGACATACTGTTGCCTGCTTGATTGACAGCTTGCTAAAAAATAAAAGAAACAAGAAACTTTTAACATAATAGTCATCTCTAAAGTTTTACAATGTTAGCCTTGGTTTCCTGGTGCTCAGCTTTTAGCAACCCAGCCAGGGACCAGATGCATGAAGGGTAATAGTAAACTTTCATCCAGACAAAATCTCATAACAAGATACTTACATAAAGTAGAGCAGTTTGATGGGCAATGTATTTATGGTTACCAAGGTTGAAGATGTCACTATTTAATTGCTGGGATAGTGTTACCATTTGGTTCAACATTGCAAATTGCTGGAAGTAACCTAAACACATAAGAGAATAATTATACTTCATATTTGTCCTTTTTTGGAAAATGTATTAAATTCAAACTCCAATGACCATAATTCTGTTTTGAATGAATAAGTTGTGCTTGCACGAAACAACATAATTTGTTACCATCCATTGCTGACTTCTGTAAATAAAACTGTGGTCTTTCTGGGTTGGCTAAGTATGATGCAACTTTTGGAAATAACACACTAAGTCCTGTTTGCCTCATATATTCCTTAAATTGAACATAGCATATATCATAAGACAATAATAATAAGTAATTATGTAAACAAGAATTGATAAATTTTAAGAGAACATAGCAAAAACTCTTCAAAAACATGTTTAAACGTCTCCATGTGTTTTACTTCACTTATGAATAATAAACTTTTATTGTTTTTATTCTATTCCTTTCGTAAAAAAAGACAACCAGTATATGGCTAGAATCTCCCAGTTTTGAAGAGATTTTAGTGTTTGTTAGCTTATTTTATGTGTTTACCTTAAGGGATGGTTGAGGTTCTGGTAGAAACAATAGCATCCTTCTCATTTTCTCAATAAGAAATTGTGCTGGAAAATTGACATTAATAATGAAAGAAAGTTTAAAATACTCTTACAACTTTACTTGATACTTTGTTTGTAGAGAGGAATGGACTAACTACAGTTACAAATACCATTCTCACTAAGGCAGTCTGGGTGGCTCAGCTCCACTTAGAAGCAGGAGTGCGAACATGACTTTTCAATGAGGGGTGGAAAAAATACTATCCAAAGTCAATAAGGAGAGGGGGAGGGAAATCTAACTAATTTAGCCCCTGTATCTGCCTCTGTCAAGTCATCATGCTTGCTTGCYATTGTTAGCTGTCTTTATGCATCTCTTGAGGGCAACAATAAGAGTTCATTATAGTTTGTTATCCTGAATTTGCTACTTTATTCCACACATTAATGGGATTTATATTACCTTTAGGTTCAAAATGACTTTGATATTCTACTTTATGTGCTCTTTCCAGTTCACCAGTTGATGTCTGAAAACCAGTCAATATATAGAGGATATTACATGGGCGCGCGGAGATACGGATTTTATCTTCGAGTGTTGAAAAGATCTCTCACGAGTGAGCGTAGCGAGATTTTCAACACGAGAAGATAAAATTCGTATCCCCAAGCGAACATGTAATATTCTATTTATCATATAATTTTATATGAAAGCAAATTATGTCGTAAAATACCTTTTTTCTTACTGCATTATATAGAGAAACCTYGAATGTGTTATTTTAACTAGTGAGTTATTTTCACTAGTGAAAATATCAATTTTACGAAATGGAGAAATATAGGTATTTCATAGATAATTATATGATAAAAAGAAATATTGTCGAGTTCATTATGAGGTAACTTATATACCTTAATGCTATTCTTTTTAAATATTCATTAGGTTATACTCCAGCTATAATGCTTACACTGAGCTACAAGTGGGAAAAATGGATTTTACCGTGTATTCTTTTTTACACAACACTTCTAGTTGAGAGCATAATGTTAGTAGCTCTAATGCCACATCGTCTGGCGAAAATTGGACTTTCCACAAGGGTTCATGAAGACGAACTTCAACTGAAAACATAAAAGTTACAAGACTTCATCATGCTGAACTTAATCTCGATTTTCTGACTGCATTGCAAACAAATTAATAGATAAATCAACTGAAAAAGACCCACCTTTAAAGGAAGGATCGTATGCTAGAGGCTGGTTGAGTGGCAGAGACGAAAGAGGCATTTCAACGCTCATCATTTTGGGCAAAATAATAAATACATGACTAGGAAACGAAAGCAGCGAAAATGGCTGCCACAGTAACTCCGCTGTACACAAGTTTCGCAGATACAGAAGTTATCAAAATAAAGCAAAACTTAAGTAATTTTGTTGACTTACATGTTTTTATTGACTAGACGGTTAATAAAAGAAGTAATTCATAATAAAAATTGCCATCTTTAGATGTGCACCAGCAAAAGAAAGCGAAGTGCGCAGCCTGGAAACTAATTATGACGTCACAAAGACAATTACTGTCATGTCAAGAAGTTTTCTGTCACGCTGTTTAAGTTTGAGTAAGCTTTAAGCTAGAAAAGTAAAGATTTGCAGCATTTGTTGGAGCATAATGAACTTAAAGCTGTCAACCTGCGGTTTTTTAATGTCTAAAGGTTTGTATTTATAGGAATTTATCCATTCTGTAAAGTGAAAGGCTCATTTGTGTCACGGCAACGCTTCAGTTTTGCCGCTAGATTTGAAAATCCTCTGACATCACCATGAAGGCTTAAAAGCTCCCACGTTATTATTTACGAGCATTATTTGGATGAATTCAAATCTATGGTATATTATTTCCAATAGAAAAACAGTACAATAATCTGTTAAAAGATGAGAAATACATTTTTTATAAATTTTAGGCAATGAAAACTGGATTGTTATCAAAGACATCAAAGGTCAGTGAGTTCATGCTAGACAGAAGCTCGCTAGTATTTAATATCTTGTTTAAGCAATTTACTTTGCGTTTCTCTATATATTTTTCTCTGGTTTTCTAAATTCCGAAATAGAAGTGAGTAGTTAAAAACCTTTTTAGAGAGAATGTAGCATAAAGAGAGTTTCAAAGAAGACACAGGTAGCCCACAATGCGTGTAACAATATATTTATAAAGGAGATGTCGAAGAGCAAAGAATCATATTTTACAGGTGCTTAATGGACTTGATGCGGCTTCGAAGCTCAAAGTCTCTTTTTTGAAAGAGCATAAAACCTTAGAATCTTCAGATAGCTTTCAGCTCAAATTTGTATTCAGCATTAACTTATGTTGGAAAATGGTAATGCACTAGTCAATAGAAACCCCCGACCCCCRGGAAATGACGGGGAATTCAACGTTTAAGTGGTGTTAAAATAAGACATTTCCCCGGTAGTCGGGGGCACATTGTTAAAATCCCCGCTATTGTTGCCACGCTAATTTGGTCTATTTCTGTGATACACAGGGTTAATTTCTGTATAATCCTGTGTACTCATTTGCGTACTACATGAGACTAACCGCTGGACGGAGAAAATAAATGTGTGATAAGTTTCTTTCCAAAAATGTTTCATGCAAGGAAAAATAGACAAATACAAAAACAGGGTTGAATACCAATGCTTTCAGGGTATTTCTCAAGATGGCCGACCTCTAGTTTCCAGCCTCATACATGTTCAAACGTGCAATCATCAAAATCGCGACCCCACCCGGGCAATCTTGCTGTTTTAAAAAGCACGTTAAAAACGCATCACGCTCCCGTTCAGTGCCCCGCTAGCCCCGGGGATCGTGGGGTGGGGGTTTCAATTGACTAGTGCATAATTTTCGAAGTCAAGTGATTTTATTGACGGTAGTCTAAATGCGACTTTGTAAAAGAGACTTTGTACTTCGATCGTTGCACTTCAAAAACAATGTTATCAATAATAACGTTATGTAGTGTTGAAAACAGATGGGCGACGACTTTCAAAGCGTCTCTGGAGGATATCAGATCTATTTGTCTTCCACTTCTTCACTTCTAAATTCAAATTGACATAAGATTAAGTRCTGCGGAACCGACATTACAGATATGGAATTTGATGTGTTTGCTGTATGCGAAGAGGACAAAATGGCCATCATTGACTCTGTACTGTCGTAAGGAGAAATGGTCCTTGATTCATACCGCGAGTACTACTACAAACAAAGCTRGTCATGTCCACAACAAATTAGTTAATGGTGCTAAAGTCTAGTCTTTTTGTATCTTTTCTGTTTTGATAAGTCTACTTTAAGTGGTTAATTGCATGTCGCTCGTGTTTCTGTAATGAGTGATTGATACACACCTAATGAGTCACCAGCTAAAGCCAGTTTTATTTGTCTCCAATCTGGTCGTTTGTGGGGGCTCGTGTTTCTTTAAGGAATGATACACAGCTACTACTACATATCAAACTATATTATCATTGATACGGGACAGAAGTATTCTGATTTCGCAAAATATATGTCTGGCTTGTGCATATATCGCGCGGGTTTACAAGGTGGAGATACGGCATTTCAATCCTTCAAGGTGCAAAACTTGGCTGTCTCTTTTACCAATGGCAGGGAGAATAGAACTCTACTCTACCCACTACTAGCTATATTTATAGTGCTGATTGTACAGTAACTATAATCACCTAATTTTACTGACGAGAGAAAACCAACGTATTCTGGTGCAAACTTCATGTCAAGGGAAAGTGCAACAAACGCAACCTTCACATAACCTGTGAAATGGCTGATCGGATTCGAACCTAAAGGCAAATCCATCCATCAAATGGCTGTCATGAACACTAATCTTAACTTGTAAAAAAACTTTTTTTTCTTTTTTTTGACCAACAACATTAGCTGTTGCAGAAGGTCCTAGTGGAAACACCAAAGTCGCCAACTGAAAACACAGTGATATTAACGTTATATTTCTTTTGCTGATAAGTTTTTTTTTTCTTTTCACATGCGCTTGTGTCTTCTGAAGTATATATCAGCAAATCTTGCAGCGCACGAAAAGGCCGTTTATAGCGTAACACAGGAACTCCATCGTTGAGGCACAGACACAGGAAGCCCATCGTCATGCACAAGCGATTACATCGTGTGGCTGGCTATTTGTGTCTTACGTCGTCTTACACGTTGTGCGTGCATGTTGGTGATCACTACGGTGGCGTGCTTACCATAAGCAAACATTCTAATAGTAACAGAACAACTGATAATAGTGTATTGTTGCTCGTGTAACAGTTACATGTACTCATTGGGTTGAACTGGTTTGTTTGTGCCTTGTAGGTACCTAGCATGAGGTCAAAGCCACCCTTGACGCTTAAAGACATCATTTTAAGGTATATCTAATGGCCTGGTCGCAACATGGGAAGGTATGTCATTGTAAATAAAGCTTATCTCTTCTCGTGCTATACTTAAAAGATTGCCTGGCTGACTTCTTAGGGATGCTTCCACGACGCACAGCCGTCTTCACCGACTTGGCTACAAAACTAACACCCCACTAGTGCGGGGACAGTTTTAATGAGTTGGTGTGCGGTTTGTTCGTGGGATGCTGTGAATTTGTTGCAAAAAGCTCATTCTTTTCTTTTTTTTTTGACTTCTGTCTCTGACAAATGAACGCATTAGCTTGGCATTGGCATTTATGAATAGCTATCTACAGACTTGGCGTCCCTGTAATGCATCACGCAATTTTGCGCGGAGACTCGTCACGTTAGCTGTTTAGACAGCAGTAATTATGTGTCACGCTGTGACATTTTCAAATAAGAAACAATAGAATCTAGTGCGTTATGTTGATCTTGAAAATATCATACTATGGACGCTCAATTAGTTGACGCAGATRACTGATAAGTGATTACTATATATAGCAAACAGACTCATGGCAACAGATACAAATATTCTAGAAATGTGTCGATATTTTAAGAGACTTATCCCGCGCGAACATTGATTACGCGCACGTTTAGCAAGCTATGTTTCCATAAGCTACAATAGTGAAACTAGAACGTGGGCTGACGATCATCCGCAAGCAGTTCTCATTTTCAAAAGTTACCTATACACATTTGTGCGCATTGCGTCATCTTAATACTAGTAACATTTTATCACAGAATTCTTTGACTTGCTGTAGATTTTAAGGAGACGACTAATCGATCTGATTTTAAAGGTTTTTTTTAATGAATTTTAAAAATCATGTCGTTGATGTCTTCTGGTGTTAACGTGGTTTCTTTTCGCAACTAGCTACATCTTGTCGTAGTGTCATCTATTTTCTGTAGACCTAAAGACAGGAAAATAGTAACAACAACAACAACAACAACAAATTCAGTAATAATAGCGTCAATATGTAAGGTGTGTAAGGTATACTTAATGAAACTAGAATGGTTTTATTTCTACTTGCGCGCCAGCCATTGTTTTGATGTAGGAGTTTGCAATGTTAATTTTTCATGACTCTTTAGTCTAGCACGCCTTTCGTTGAAACTGTCAATCAAAATGTTCACGTGACAGGATGCGCGCATTAGAATCATGAATGAAAGCTCAAGGTACGCAGTGTTTTCCCAGAATCAGAGTATTTTTATCCCAGTCTGGAAACTGTACAAATAATGTAAACAATTTCTCATGTATTTGATTCAATCTACAACCATAGCTTCCATATAAGATCTTTCTGTTTTTGCGCAAATGTTACATTTTCATTGTCGCGGAAAAATGTGCTCTAATTTTCCCAATTTCTAACCGCTTTCCTCGAGTGCGCAAAGTTACTTGATCATTACTTACAATTTTAGACTACAAAGGTCGAGAATAGAATGAATTTGGATACAGGTTAACCATGCTACTTGCTTACCTATGCTTTACATGATTGTACATAAACCACCACTGTTCTTATCTAAAGTTTCAACAAAGTGAACCATTTTAAACAATGTACATTAGACATGACCCGTTTCTCGTCTCCCTGCTTCTCCATTACAAAATCTTTACTAATTTTCTCAAATTGTATGATCATTTTGATTAAAAGGCGGCCGAATAAAAGTTGCGTCATAAAACATGTCGATACTAACATGACGCGCGACATTTTCGTCGTTATTCTAATCTTCTCTGGTACACACGCGCTTTCTCTTTTGAATGTTTTATGGAGAATCTTTACCTACCCTTGTCTGGAGGAGGTTTTTCTATTTCTTCTATTGGGTCACCCATTCTTTCTCAGTTCACGTTTGTCAAATCGCTTTGGTTTCAAACGCAAAGATTCGAGCTCTTTGCACTGGTTTGATGAACAACTGAATTGTGAATGACACCGCCTTTTATCTTCTTAGGAAATGCTTGTAAGCACTTTTTAAGGCGCAGGCGTGCTGGTTATAATTCCAGATTGTGCGTCATGTGGGGGATCAATTCTCTCTTCAAAATTTTGCTGACAAGCAAATTCTTTGCTAGTTTTTTTTCTTTTCTATTTCTCTGATAAATTCTGCCTATCGATGTATCTACTGAGGAGCTATTTGCTCATCCTGATGACTGAATGTGTCACTATAAAGGAATGAAATGATGTTGTGATTCTCAACTAACTGTAACACTCATTTTAAGCCTAACCTAACATCCTTACATTACCGATACGAAAGAAAGTAGACAGTTTTGTAGATTTAGTGCAGTTTATTGACAAAGGTAAAGGTTACATGGTGTACAAAAAGTGTTAGTTGCTTGTAGTTCATCTTTGAATTACTTGTGGGGTGTACAGGGTGATGATCATTTCTGTTGAGAAAAGTTACAGTATCAAACAGGTTGAAATTTGACTCAGAATCTAGTTAAAAAAAGTTAGAAGATCAAACAGGTCAAAGTTTTATTCAGAATCTAGTACTTAACAGTTTTCAAGTTGTATAGAATTTGTCCTAAAACAATCAACAAGTCATCAAGTACACTTTGCAGCCAACGATTGATAAAACTGCTCGTAAGCATATTTTTCTTACAAACTAGTAAACTAATGCTATAAACGAAACAACATCAAAGCCGCGTTCTTCAGTGCAATCATTGATAAATAAGTAGAGTGTTAAACTAGATTTGTGTTTATTAGAAGTTCATTGGAAATTGAAAAGTGTACTAAAGCAAGCTAAAAGCATGTTGACAAGAAATGGGAAGATCGCGTTTTCACAGACGCTAAAGTCAATCTCGGTCATTACTCATAAGAATTACGAGCCAAAAATTGACAAAAATTACAAGAATTTAGCTAATATTATACTATAAGATTATTTTGACACAGAGTTTTATTGCGTTATACATAAAATTTGTCGATATGGGTTTTTCCAACATGGCTTCTTAAGAGGTCTTAAGAGTTTTGAAAATTAACACAATAAGCCTTGCTTAGGACATGTAAGTCAAATGAATTAGTTCTTCACGCTTACCTTGACTGGCTACAGAATAGTGCATTTTTTATCTGAAATTAATGTAGTATTTGTTAGTGATGCAGTTTATAATGTTTTGTTTTCTTGAGAGTAGTGCTTTAAAGACGCGTAGGCCTTTTTTAGAAACTGAAACATGTTTAAGATTCATTTCTTACACCATGGCTTTGGGGCACTTTGATCATCGCCTGAATGCGGGTCAGCATTCAGTCCTGTTCCTCCGTTCATCTTATCATTACTACCCATATTCAATGTTTTTACTGGAATGATTTATAGAGATCCGCACACCAAGAGTGTATATCAGCTATACGCCCAGACTGGCCTGATCAATGACCTGTACGTGTTTGCGTGTGATAGTTTCCCGGAYGAACTACTTATAATTTGAATAAATTCTTATTTTTAGGTTTATTCCATGCTTTATTAGAGAGTTCATATAATGATTGTACTTTTAAAATTGTCATGGATTTGATATGACATGGAATAGTTTGATGTACTCGGTAGAGTCACAGAAATGATGACAAATTGCAAACATTGCATTCAAGCTTATTTCTCGCTGTTTTATGTACGATTTTACCAAACAGAACCTAAGAGAAATGTTATTTCTATTTTTTAAAGTAGTCTGAAAATATTGTGACTTTTCTAAAATCATTGTAACAAAAGGAACGAAGTGTGTTTGCAATATGTTTTACTGATTAGTGCAAGAAGAAGAAAGAAGACGCCATATTGTTTGATCCTTGCCATGAATCGCTAAGTACGAAGTTATTGAGTAAAAATTCGTATAAAATGCTTTAAAATGGCAAACCTAATCTGTTCGCAACAACAGGCAGAGTTAGACGGCAGTGTTATCATATGTAACATCAAGATTAAAAGCTAAATATTCTGATAGTAAGCTTTGATACGAAGGCACTTCAATCAAACGACCAAGAAGTTTTTCTAAACCATTTCAATTCCATTGAAACTGAACGTTTGGTGAATTTAGCTTGTCATTGAGTTAAATTTGGTATATTTGAATATTTGAAAGGCGAATATAACAAAATGTAAACGAGCGATGTATTTTTCTTTGCATTTTGAAGTACACAGTGAAAGCCGCCCTTCTTGCCGAAGAAGAAAGATGGCGGCTAAATGGCGCATTAACAACGAGCGATGAATCAAAGCTCAACGTACATTAGAAATGTTTGAATTATCAAATGTTTCATAAAACTCATAGGGAATGTTTGATTTGTTCTTTTTATGAAAATTAATGTACAAAATTTTCATTTCTTACCTTAGCTAAGTTCCTGTTTGATTCATCAAAGAATGCAGCACGCTATGGTAAACAGAGAAACATAGTTATCTAAAAGCATTCGACAACGAAATCTCACATCAAGAGAACAACTTAAGCAGACGTTAAAAAAGACTTCAAAAGTAGGCCGTGTATTAGAAGTATAAGTAACTTACAGCAAACACTTTCTCTTGGTGCAGGTCTACTTGGCGGTTGATATGGAGGATTATTTGGACCCGAATTTCCACGACCTCAGAATTGAAGAAAAATCAGTTAATTTTTCATTTTAGGTAGCGCAATGCTAGAGAAGTAACGGAAAGAAAGCAAAAGAACACTTTTAAATTCTTAGTTGATGTTTTGCGCACATGAAAATATTCTTATTAAGAAATAAATACCATAGAATGTTTGCAATTMTCTTCCAAAGTTTTAATTTCTGAAACTCGAAAACGCGAAGAAATGTCAAATACCTTGTCCTGAGTTTTGCCCGCTTCTATCAGACATGATTGCTCCTCGTGGTGAATTACGACACGCAAGATAACAATGCCGTCCGATCAAGCTATAAGAAATCAGTACCGTGGTGACCCCCCTAGGGCAGTGTTTTGCGTTTACCCGAAACACTTCATACAAGATGTGCGAACTACCAAAATTATGCGAACGGAAATGTCGATAATTTATCAAAAATATGCACCTACCGTTTGAACGTTATTTTTCAAAAACATCTTCCGAAGATTGAATAAGATACGTAGAGAAATGATTTGCCATCATCTTATTATCATCCATTATTATACTTGGTGTCATGATTGTCATCTATGGATAGATATCCTATTAACTTCTCATAAATCATCATTGTTTTCATAGCTGAAGGATAAGCTTTCTCTTTTCCTCGAAACGTGTATATTAAAAATGATATGGAGCTTTGTACTTGGGGTTTTTCTGTTTGCTTTTCTAGTGGGAGGGGCTAAATGACCTCTCGTGTCGGTATGTTGGGAGACTCTAGTAAGGTGATCAGATGATTGTATATTTCACTGAGCATGCGTTGTTTGAGGTCTAGTGTGACTTTGTGATAAAGTACACACAACCTTAACAAGACTTAATGGAAGAATTGATGCCTTGGTAATTCTTTGCTTCGTTTTTGCTTATAAACAAMAGCACTAGTGGGTAAAATTTCACAAGATATTTATTGCCATTTTAAGTTCTTTGAGTTAGTTTTAGGTTATGATTTATAGAAATAGATGTTATTGATTGTAGTCTTTACATAAGTACAAGTTACAAGTACAAAACACTAATAAAACCAGTTCCTGGCCCACGAGCCCCATCCTGCAATGAAAAATGAATCGTTTAATTTAATTTAAGAAATTAGTACTCAATTATCCAAGGGATGACATCGATGGTCATCAATTTACGTAGTCAGTTTAAATCGATWAATTCTTTATGCTCATTGGAAATTTTGGTCTGGATCATCAAGCACTAACTATTGCAAAGATGATGAGATCAATTCGTCCCGCTAAGACTATGTTTCTATTATACCTGCTGATGGGGGACGGTGTGCTGGAGCTTGAACAGGATTAGTTCCCGGTCCAACGTGATGTCTGCTATTTTGTTGTGTGGTTCCTTGGTCGCTTCTTGTTCCTGATGTGTTTTGTGATTGGTGACGGTGTGCTTGAGCTCGAACAGGATTAGTTCCTGGGCCTCCACGATGTCCCTGATAGGGTCTTGTTTCTACTCTACCATTGGATGGGGGACGGTGTGCTGGACCTTGGATATGATTAGTCCCTGGTCCGCCACGATGTTCACTACTGTGATGTCTGCTTCCCTGATAGTTTCCTCTTGTATTTATACTTCCACTGCTATGTCCTCTTTGTCCTTGGTGACTTCCACAGCTATGTCCTCTATGTTCTCCTAAATGAAATGGTGTTTAATCAAGCAATACAAGCCATACTCCTAGCGTGAGCATTTCCCGTCATTTTCAATACATTGTTTACAATTCTTTGGTCTTGAGAACCTCGTGGCACGTTTATAGTCACATCAAAGTTTATCTCGTAATTTTCGTCTAACTGAAGACGTATCATATAAGCGTTTCGCTACGTTTTCGAATATTAGCATTAACATTAATTGCAAAAGTTCGTTTAGGCCGAAATTAGCGCTTCTATGAGATTTTATTCGATATGATTACAGTCAAGTTGTATTGACTACGTGTTATCTATGATTTTGATAAGGCTACTTACTTTGTTGACGAGAAGACATCGTGCTTTTATCTAGTATTGCTCAGTTGAGCTGTTAAAAGTGCAGTATAGTATTTGTGGTATAGTAAGCGTTTTTATCGATTGTTACAATGTTACGAACGCACTCGCTAATGCGTGCGCAGCATTTGTGCTATAGTAAGGGGTTTTATTGATTGCCTTGAGGTGACGACGCACTTGGCGCGCTGCATTTGTGCTATAGTAAGGGATTTTATTAACTGCCTCGAGGTGACGACGTACTCGTTAAAGCGCGCGCGCGCCGCGGTGCTCATGTAACGAAACCATAGAGTGGAAATCGAGCCAATCGTGTAATTTGTTATGATAAGAAGAACGGCAATGAACCAACGCACTTAAAAACGGGGATTTTGGTAGCATTCTTTCATCTTAGTATTGAATGCAAATTAATTGAAATTTGAATTCACAGAAAGAATATTATTCTTCCTGCTTTATTTCGCTGTATACTATTTTTTAGCGCGTTTTTTCACTTACTGCGCAGTATAGTGCTGGTTAACCCTTAACTATGTATGGTTTACAATGTCATTCTTTAGGATGACCTTAAACATATATCAGCGGTTCTATTATTCAGTTAGTTGTTTTGCGCGCGTTTTTTGTGTTGTAGAAAACTGCAATAAAAATTACTATATCTTGATTTAATTCTAAATTTATTACTTTTTTATTCTAGAAGTATTACATTGCGCTTATGATGACTGTATTTTATGGTTATTCTGCTAATGTTTATTTATGGAATTATGCTTGATAACGATGKGAGAGCCATCCATTCTTGTCATCCTACAAATGATAGCGTTTATTAGTTACAATTATCAATCATTTTGCGTATTATTTCTTCAAGCTGTTGATTTTAAGTGACAATGGCCTGTACGGTACGAGTAAAGAGGGTACGAGTAAAGAAATAATACTTACAATCAGTTTCTTCTCATGCAAAGAGGTCGCACTACGTGTCTGAACCAGGCGGGCAATCTTTTTCTTAAGRCCCAACCTTCAAACAGAACGAAATTTGCACTTCTTTGAGATTGCAAATATATCATAAAATGTCAAATATCCTCGCTTTGTACCTCTTGATGGAGGAGAGTGTGCTGGTGCTTGAACAGGATTCGATCCTGGCCCGACTTGATCAGGCGCTTTTGACATGCTTGCATTGACAATTATTGATAATTAGGAAAATAATAATCACTAATACTAGCGTACTTGTACGAGGTCCTAACAACAAATACATGGGAATTTATTACATCATGTTGTACTGACTGACGAGATATCTTGGGCGCGTTTTGCTAGGTTTGGAATATTAGTAAGAACATTATAAAAAAAGTTTATTTAGACAAACGTCAGCGCCTTTTGCAGATTTTGTTCTATAATGAAGTTAAAGAATAAGTCGTTTAAGCATGATAAATGATCACAAAATGATTACTTACTTTGGGAAGACATTCTTTGGAACTAGAAATGCTTACTTGGCTGAACGACGCACAGTGTAGTATTTGTGCTGTAATAAGCGCTTTTTATGGACTGTTTAAAGGTGGCAACGCACCAATAATGCGCGCGATACGCGGTGCTTTTTGAAACAGTCTGTAGAAACTCGGCCATTCGTGTAATTTGTTCTGATGTCAGCACAGCACTGAACCAACACGCTTCAGATTATATTGAAATCGGGGATTTTGTTTGCACTAGTTGAGTTTATCGATTGCATATTTCATCTATCGAACGCGAACAAATTGTCATTTGAATTCACTAACAGAATGCTTATCCCGTTAGATTTATTCCATCACTTAAACTTTTTGCGCGCGCTTCCTTACTAACTGCAGAGTCTAGTGCTGGATATCAACAAACAGTCCTATAAAACCTTTACTACGTATCGTGAGGCTTGTTGTCATATTTTATTGTCTCTAACCCAAGTTTTTTTGTATCGCCTTAGTACTTGAATTTGCTCTTTCTTTTGCACAATAAATTTATTGCAATAAATTTGACCGTTTACATTTGGATTTTTGTAGAGTTATTGCATTGAGCGTTTTCTACGGTTGCAGATTTCAACACGGTGCATCTATCCTCTACCTACAAATAATACATATAGCGTTCTTTAGTTACAATGCTTAGTCATTGGGATAAGTGAGAATCTATGGCACGGTCAATAAAGAAACGTGTTGAAGAAGATAAATAATAAGAAATAAGAATAAGAATAAGAAATTATACTTACAATCAATTTCTAAGAAGTCAGCGAGTAAGCCAATGTACGCATTGTCTGATCCAGCCATTTAAAGTTCTTGTTAGCCTAGCTTGAAATATAAGAATTTAAAGTCAACTTCTTTTCATAAAGCAAATATTTTGTAAAATTTTGTTGGTTACCATATTTTTTTCGTCTAGGAGGTGCATGCTCGCGATTTTGATATTTTATTCCTCCACTCTGTCCTGTGGGAATATTGTTTCAAACCGTTATTTACATTTACAAGAAGTATGATTTCTAACGTTATAAAAGGTATTCTCCTTTAGCCTTTAGTATTGGAAGTTTTCTACGCTTGTTATGATAAGGACTGGTGCGCTTTTTGAACGAGCTAACATCGTACGGTGGATTTTCATTGAAGTATTTACGACATCAAATTCTGTAAGATTTAGCAGAAAAGTAGGAAAGAACGAGAAGAAAAGCAGATTTTAATTGGTTTTAATAATTTTAGTGTGAATAGAATACATAAGCAACTAGGCATATAAATGCGATTGATAATGACATACTTTTACAGGGTCTGCCTCGGCGGGATTTACTTGTTTCTGTAAAGAATTACAATGAGAATCTTTTAGATAATTCGATAATTTTAGTGTAAGTATAATACATAAGCATTGGCAATTAAGCAAATAAATATGAGTAATGATGACATACTTTTAGGAGGTTTGACTGGGCAGGATTTACGTGTTTCTGTAAAGAATTATAATAAGAATCTATGAGATAATTTATGTAGAAATAAACACTAATAATTGTTTGAGGTTTTCTTAGTTCTTGGCATCTTATATTAGAATCAAAATTTATCTCGTAATTTCAGTCGAACTGAAGAAGTATCTTATGCGCGTCTTGCTACGTTTTCGACTATTAGCATTAACATCAATTACAAAAGTTCATTTAGACCGAAACTTGCGCCTCTAGGAGATTTTAGTCGATATGATTACAGTAAAGTTGTATTTACTACGTGTGATCTATGATAAGGCTACTTACTTGGTTGACGAGAAGGCATTCTGCTTATATCTAGCGCTCCTTACGTGTTATGTCCGTAGAGTATAGTGGTTGTGTTATAGTAAGCACTTTCTACAGTAATGCGCGCGCACAACATCGGACAGTGGATGTCCAGCCAATAGTGTCATTTGTTATGATATCAGGATTGAACTATATAAACGCGCTTCAGATAATATTAACTCGGGGATTTTTCTGTACCCTTTAAGTTTATCAAGTCTATCAAATGCGCTCAAATCGGATTCACTGAGAGAATAATCATCCCGCTAGGTTTAATTCATCGGTTTAGTTTTGTGCGCACGTCATTTAGTCCGCTCTCTGCACATTTGTATTGAATTGACTAAACTGCTTTTTCGCTCAAGACTAAATCATTACACTTTCATTGTTCAATGATTGAAGAATTATGACAATGTACATTTTTTTTTTGTTTATAAGTACTATGTGACTATTTCGCATTTTGAAAATTGTGAATTATATTACTAAGTACATATACAGAGAAATCTGAGCTTATCCAACGTCTTTCCAAGCTATTACATGATATCTGATAAAAAACACCCATAAATTGGCAATACTTTTATATCAAAACGTTAAATGAATACTACCAATAAATTGGCAATACTTTTATATCAAAACGTTAAATGAATACTACCAATAAATTGGCAATACTTTTATCAAAACGTTAAATGAATACTACAAACATTTGATAGTAACTGCTACATGCATACGCCACTCGACCAACACGGCTGTTGTGCTAGAAGCAGGAGAAATAACGTATTACTAATATAAGAGTACAAATCAGTACAGGGTTAATCATAGCGAGTAAGGAAGTATGAAGTTCATTTCGCTAACATGTCAACAACGTGATTCAGAACACAACTAGCGTAGTAAACATTGCTTTGGTTATAGTCCCTAGGGCGCGCGCTTCATGCGCGTTAGTCGCGCAAACAATTGAAGACATATATAGTGTTAATTCACTTTTCATAATGTGTGCAACAGTCTAAAGGGATTTGGTAGTTATTCTTCAAAGTTTCTAAGCAAATAATGTTTGACTAAATTTATCAGATTACCTTAACTTATCAATACTTCATCCGATGTTATCTTGTGGTTTCGAGTTTGTGAACAGTATTCTGGAGAATATAGTAAGGAATTGCTAACGAGAATCATTCAGAGTGACGCCTCGTGTGAGCATCAATCGTACTCACCACCATCTTCATCTCGTACAAAAATCACACATTCTGCTTCTTCTGTAATTATTTTAACAATTTCTTTTCCTTTTCTTGTCCTCTTCGTCACAAAGCAGCCTCTTCCTTCTTTATACCCTGCGAATACGGCTCATGGTTAGTCGATTAGCATGGTTTGGTTACGACGTAAATTGATCTTACGTCCTCTTGGCGTGCGGTAGAATATCCCAGTTCTTTTGTTCTCCGTTTTGCTGTAGATGTACACAACTTCGTAGGGAATGCTATCGTTTTCGTCAGGAGAGTAACTCATTTTGATACCTTTTTAGCTCAAATACTCAACATTGGTATTTCTTTGGTCAATGTTTAAGGGATTTGAATCCTAATTGTTTCATAGTGCATTGCGCCGGCTTTGTAATGATATACATGTGCGCGCACTTGGGAGAATTTGGAATGTTTTCTTCACTTTTAGTTCTGTATGTTTACTGGAATGTAACTTGAGTGATTGAACTGTTCTTGCCCTAAAATGAGGTTTGTTCTATCTTACAATTTAGACTATAGACAAACTGTTGTATTCTACTGTTTGCAGTATCTGATTGTTAATGACAGATAGATTTGTTTTCCAATGAAGTTCTACCGTAAGCAATCATAAAATAATCAAAATTACTCTAAGTGGTTGAGAGCTAGATTTAGTGAGTGCGCGCAAGAGAAATCAGTTTGTAACAATTATTATTTTTTATTCATAGTTAGTGAACGTCGTGAGGTTCAGTTTACAAATCTATCAAACAATCTATTGAAGATTACAATTCCTTCTTGATGTTAAATACGGGTCTTGTAATGGCTGTCATTTCTAAAGAGAACAAGTATTGATTCAAACTCTTGATTATTCCATAATTACACTGTAAAATGAAGAATAAAATACAATTTTTCTATGATGTCATTTGTTCTGTCACGGAACGGTGCGTGACTAAATTGCATGGAGAATGATTTACAATTCCTAAATGAGTAATGTACATTGAAATGATCGAACATAAATTATGTGATTTTCTAGTCGATTCTTTAACCGCCGAAACTTTGTTAACATCCATGCGCGCATTGATGTCAATATTGTATAAAATTATTCAATTAAAAGTTACCTTAACTTATCCTCCCACGTCTCGCTTCTATACTGTATCCACTTGTCTTCATTTTGTAATCTAGAGAAGGTTTAGGCAAGTTAGGTTCTAAAGTCGGTGATAAACGTGCTGTAGAAACTGCGATTCGTTCAATCAACTTACCTCCCCATGGTTCTCGCTCAAACACGACGGTTCCTCCATATTGAGTTCTCATACGCACTATTTCTTTCCCTGTTGGATGTTTTTGTGCACTTTCTACCATTCCTACAATTGCCATGTAACCTACAAAGGGATCGGAGCATGAATATATAAGCCGGGCGATGTGCGTGTTTCATAGTTAACGTACCGTTTGTTGTGCGGCGGAATTCGGCGACGTGGATACCGAAAAACCAAGTTGCATAGATGGAACCAATTTCATGGTAAATCTCATCGTGTTCATCACCCATTCTTGAAAACATTTCAACGAGACGACTCGTTTTTTCTTATGCGATGGCTTACTTAACTAAATGTGCTGCGTTGCAGATTCAGGAGTTGTCAATCAATCAAGTTCATTTAGTTTATTCTCAGAATTCCCCGACATCTAGTGAATGGCGTGCTTTGTCATCTTATTCTGCTGCGCGTCACAAACTTTCCAGGGTCATTCATGATCATGCCTACGCGCAGAACACGTTTTCCGTTGTAAACCCCACGCGCGCAGAAAAACAACGATCAGAAGAAGATGATGAGACCAATTTAGATGTCTTCGCGACGTGACAACATTTAGCGTCCTAACGCCAGTGCGCGCAACGTAGTTAATCAATAACATCAACTGTAAGATGCATATAATGATGAAGCATTGAAATTATATCGATGCGCGCAATGATAACGACACATAGAAGACGTGTTTTAATGTTTAAATGAAATTTTATTGAATTAACTCTAGATCTACTGGTGTACAAATTTATTGCTATTTATTTGAATACAGACAGTTGCTATTACATATTAAAACTTGTAGTAATTACAGCGAACTGACGAGAGTAGACGTGTTCTGACCTACTCTATTAGAATATCACTTTCTGTGCGACTAATTCTAGTACAATATAGTAAGATAAATACAATAGATAAATTTAATATGAATACATATGATGTACTATTCTTGGTTAACTCCGAATGTCCATCGTTTTCGGTTTCTAAAAATGAAAACAGTGTCAGTTGGTATGCAAGTAAGTGCAAATGAATTTCATTTTGTGTGCTTCAACAATAAGGTATCATGCGATTTTAAAAATGTCATTGTTAACATCGATCATTGTTGTTAAGCTTCGTGATTTCAAGTCATACGTTCTCTCAAAGAAGAAGTTCAAATGTTTAACTCACCTTAACTTACTCTAACGCTTTCGTTTTGAATCGTGAATCCACATGTGCTTGACTTGTACTCTATAATGAAGTTAGTAAAATGCTTGCAAAAATGGAATACTGAAAGCGCAACGCAATATTCATGTCATACTTACCACCCCATTGATATCGTATAATCGTTACACAGCTTGCTGTTTCAGTAACAACTTTGACAGTTTCTGAGCTGTCTGAGTACTTCTCTTGATCGACGACGCATCCTCTACCGGGTTTATACTCTACAGTGAAGATGTTCAGACATAAGTGTTTCAAATCGGTCAACATAGATTTTGTACAGCGACTTACCTCCTGCTTGAGTGCGATATAAGATCGCGCAAACTTTGTTAATTCTGTTGTCGTATACGTATACAACTTCGTAAGGAATCTTATCATTTTCGTAGCTCATCTTGGTGTCTTGTTGGTCCTATTTTTAGGCAAAACCTAACGTAGTGCCGCGACGCAAGTTTATATACCTATCGTACATGATGTAAGGGGATTTTTTTTCAAGTCTCACTTCATCAACTGTTTGTGATCTGCTGAAAATTGTGCTGCGCTGCAGTTTTGCGCACAGTTAGGAGAATTTGAATTTGCCAATCAAGCACTTTTATGGTGATAAATCTTCAAAATAACCTAACAGCAACTGAATATTTTATGTGCCATGACATGGCACATAATTTCTCTTTGCGTAACCGAAATAACTACTCTATGTGTCATGTTTATGCTTGAAAACACGCATAATATATTTCGAGGCAGTCTAATTACGTGCGCACAACTTCAATAGAAGACAACTGTGTATAATTGACAACAATCATAACTTTACTAAAACATTTTGACACAAAGATTATGTACATTCACAATGAGATCCTTGTTGTACAACAGTACATCATACATTCAATTTCACAGTTAACAAATGTTTCTTCACAAATAAGAAGTGCGCAGCGTTTTCTTCGAAGGATCCAGTTGAACGTCTTTGCGATGTTTAAGTCTCTCGTAAATTATCCTCGCACGTCCTCGACTAATCAGCCTTTTCCAGCTCTTCGTGGATACTGATATCCATGTTCTTCCTTCCTTTCGTTTATTTACATCGAAAAGCATCTAACACCGGTACCACAGCCAAATACATACGCTAGAATACGCTACAGTTCCTTTATCAGTTTCACATATAACATCAAGTTCACAATATTCAGGTAATAGTTTCCTTGTCCTTGATCGTTTTAAAAAAACAGCGATTTCTTCTGTTCTAATCAACAACAGCAACAACAGGAATCATCAGGGGGATCAGGTTCAAGACATTGAAACAAGGCAGTAATGACTATGCCACCGAGAACGACGACTCCAACGACGCTAAAAATGAGCATATTCGGCTCCATTATCAATTATATTTTCTAACTTTGATTTTTTCCAATTTGAAGCTCTGCTTTGCGTTACTTACTGACACAGTCTGTCTCTAAGAGAGCTTGAGTTACATTTTTATAAAGTGCGTCACAGCGCACAGCTAGAAATGTGCTTTGTAATCGTTATTTTTGATTAGTAATCGAGTCAATAATTTATCAATGAACTTGCTTAAACATGGATATAGATTTGAGTATATAGCTTGTGCGATTTGTGTTTTCTGCATGTTTATTTCTTATGATATTTCAGACTTCATTTACCCTGGTCTCAGGTTTGATTTTTTCACTCTTTGCTGCTTGTTTTTGTTGGCGCGAAGCACCGCATATTGAGCRAGAAAGGAAAGATTGTCGCTCGCAGTTCGCGAAGGGCGAAGAGTGAAAAAAAAATCGAACCTTTGGGACCAGGGAAGACTATACTATACTTTTAAAACATTTTACATTTCGTACAAAGCTATCTATAAAACGTTGGCGATGATATTGTCTATATCTTTCTAATCTATGATTATAGTTTCTTTTTTAAAGCTCCATTTCTAAATCATGCTTTATTCGTGGTTGCTTGTTTTCTCTCTAACATCTTCTTCTAGTGTGATTTGTGCTTTCACTGCAAACAAGATTGACGCGAATTATATTTATACATATATGTTCGAGGAATGGTGACGAAATGTTCAAAGATTGCTAAAAGCTTTGAAGTCCAACATTACTACCAATATGATTTCAATTTCATTTGAGGTGGGTTGGTGCTCGTGGAGAGCTTTGAGTTGTTTCTTCGTTGGCGCGTACATCATTTCATAATCTCTCTTCATTTGCACAAAAGTCGGTAATGTACAAATACAACTGCGTCGTACAAATTTATTGGTACATAGTTGACTTTCGACCAGAAAAATAAAAATACTACTCACCATTTCTATGATGGGAATGATGAAGTGCTTTAGCCTGAAACGAAAAAAACCCGACAGATCAAAGGAATTTTTCATCTTAAAAACATAAATATCTTTACCACATCCTAATGGGAGTGCAAAATTAGGGAAAAATCTTGTCAGCATTAGACAATGAGAATAGTTATTTAACACATCAACCGCTTAGTGTATGTCCAGAATTTCCAGTTCTACCTCAGACTTAACGTTTAAAAACCGCATACAGCACAGCTGCTGCAATTGCTCCTACTACTCCTACCGCACCACCAATAACCCAGCCATTATTGCCATTGTCTCGCGGCGGTGAACGCTCCTTATTTTGGTACCCTTCTGGCATATTTAAACTATGCTTTCGTTCGTCGGTTTTGGGAGTTGCTTAGTTCCTCACTCAATTCCTGCTAATCAACATCTGCAGTGCTTCGTTGGAGGATTGAGAATAAATGCGTCATCCAAAGGGATACCGCTTTTTGCGCATATTTTGGATAGTGCTACTGAACCTTCGAATACAACTGATCACAGGTTTTTGTATGATTGGTTGGATTGCAGCTAATACAATTCATTGCGACAACTCAGTCGGTACTATTATGATGACATTTGAATAATCTGTCAATCAAAATAACAGTAGCTGAATTATTTCCAATCACAATTATATTTATAAATAGTTATTCGTTTAGAAAATCGCATAACTTTTTCTGCGTTTTGAGGTTGAGCGCGCGCTTTTTGCTAGTCGCTTTTTGCGCAAACGAAAGAACTACTTTATATATTCATCGCTGCTACAAGAGCGTCATCTTTATTCGAACAAAATATATTTCGAAAAGCTCCAATTGCGCGCACATAACTTTTCAATAYAAGACAACTCTAAATAACACGATGATAACTTTATTTTAAAGTGCTGTAGACCAAAGATTATACCTGTGCGCGTAGATTCACATTGTGGGAAATATAGCATCAAACTACAAGAGAATCACAGCTGAGTTGGTGTACAATACCACATTATGCATTTGATTTGACCATTTACAATTGTTTTCTAAGATGTACAGTATTAACCAAACGTGCATGCTTCTAGTGAGGCTTTCAACTTCCTATGCTACTAGATATTCTTATAGTTTCTCGATTGTTTTTCTTTATTCATACTCTTCTTGTCCTTCATTCGTTTATCAAGGTCTATAGAATGGGAATCATGTCTATACACAATGATAATCTTTTTTTCGTTCTTCTATGACATGTATCCAGTAGAGAGTCTTTTCCATATTTGTGACCGTAGTTTAAGTAGTTTCGTTGTGTTCTAACAGCAACATTCACAACCGTTACAGCAATGGCAACAGGAAAGATAGTAACACCAACATCCGCAAGAACAACCTTCGCCTGGGTGTCTACGTTCATAATTTTGATACGCCACGAAAATAATTATTAGTAAGAATAAGACTACTATTCCTCCAATGCTTCCACCAATGACAGCAGGTAGAGCAGTTATGGTTTTCATCGTAATTGAAGAACTAGTTTACGAGTGGTTCGAAGCACTGCTTTGCGCAAGCTACTGATTTCAATAACTTACACTCTTTCTGTAAGACGTTTAGACATCTATATGGGTAATACGTCATAGTCAACAGAAATACCCTATGTATGCATTTCATAGCCCGGGATTTCCCTAAGTTATTGACAGATTGATAATATTACAAAACGATATGTGCGTTAAACATTTGGATATATTACTAACCTCGATTATCCTGGTACATCACTTGAGTCTTATTTTCCTGTCTCCTTTCCTTACTGCTCTCTCGGAGTAGTATTCTCGTTGGGGAAATCATTGATGAAATAACACCTCACGCTTCTATTTTTGTGAAGTTTGCCTTTTTTATTGTGACCATCGCCTTTTCTATTTCGTACATGTCTTGTTCAGTTTTCTCTCTAGATATAAAAACAGCTATTTTCGATGTATTGTCGGCAATATCGACATATCGTGCATAACTCTTGGTTGATTATTTCAGTTTCTTTTTTGTTTCGCTCGAATTGTCTGATGAAACGGTAGCGTGGTTGTCTCGCGCGTCGCGTGACTTAAATGATTGATAGGTGTCTGAGAATCTTTTTTTAGATATCACTTTTAAGGTGTGGTAATAAATGTGGCAAAATCTTAGCCATCAGACCTTCATATCAAAATCCATCGCCGCACTTCAAGTTAGTAAAGGTGCTCCCACAACTGGGTTTCTTTTGTTTTTGATTTCCATCGACAGCAAACTCGAAATATTTGATTTAGTGCAGGGTTTGATCGGCGCTTAAGTTCTCCTCATCCCCCGATACCACCCCCGAGACAGTCTATGCGTCAACAGCCAGAAATCTGCATAAACGCATTTTCAAAACTTGCTGTAAAGCACATTCTTTTCAGACAGGTAATATATAAACACGACTTAGCAGCTGCCTTCTAGTTGATTCTGCCCTGATAATATATCGGCGCTAAACTTTGCGCTCACCATTAAACATTGTACAATATTGTATGTGTGTGATATTTTGATGATTTGGTGTCTTCAAAGCGACTTTACTCACAGATGTTATGTGTTGCGCGTCAAGCGCAAGCCCCGTGATATCTTACTGACTCTGTCTTATTCATTCATCGCATAGCAACAATCATAACATGTGATATATAATAGGTAGGTTATTTTCCCTTCTGCCTGAATTTGAATATCTCTTGACTAGGGAAATTTCCCTTGGGCAACGCGCAGCACGTCTCAATGCGTTGGCTGAATGTGATTGGGTGCCTGTAAAATAGGAATGTGCATGTTTGCGCGTCTTAAGAAATTGAAAGTGTTGAGTCATTGAGTATTGTCATTACCGAAGGTATATTCCCCGTTTGCGGCCTATAAATCGACATCCAGCCGATCGTGCAAGTCATTCACTATCAAACATTTGTAAAGCGCGATGGAAGACATCAAGAAACTACGCAAAGAAGATTTCTTTCCTGCTGTTGCCTTTGCATGGGCATGCCAGCTTACTTTACCAACGCCATATCAATGTGATGAACACGAACCGCCAAGTGACAATGGTAAGTGTTTTGGCTTGTACAAACGTTTTTGTACTTTAACTCGTCATGATTCGTTTTGAATATTTAGCGTTGCGAATCTTTGTTCTTCATTCTAAAGGAAATTATTTCTCTATAGATTTCGACTCGGCGGATGGATCTTCTGACACGACAGATGCAAGCGAGGCGTCTCAAGTTACAGAATCTCAAGATGAAACTCTTTCCTCGATTGACAAGAACACGACCAAGTAAACCTAGCGGCCATGACAGATCTCTTCTAAATCACGGGATCCTTTCCTTGATTGAATAGCCCTTTCAATCGAGGAAAAAGTTTCATGGTCTTGGATGAAACGATTTTCTTGGTTGCAATGGCTGTCAATTATCCACAGAAACCGACGCCGTTCGTTTCACAGACGCTTTTCAAATCAAAGTAGAAGACAAAGAACACTATTCACAAGATATGACATTAAGCTAAGAATTGTTAGAATACATTATTTTTTTGTGCAAGATAAATATCAAGTGTTACCATGTAAATTTGCATTGGCGAAGGTCATTTACATGAGAACATAATCTAAATAATATAAACTGAAGCATGTTGAATTTGCTTACAGTCCAAGTAGTGCCTATCAGATCTTTCAAAAAATATATGTTTCTATCGAATATTAGAATGTCGGGATATGCATGTACTAATTCTGTTGTATAATCAAGCTGGAAAATCGTAATAAAATGATTTTATAAATTTGTCTTTATTATTATTGTGAATCAATTTATTATATTTTCTTATAATTATTATATTATATTAGTTATTATTGGAATTATCTGCAGAAACGAGAAAAGATAAATATTGTATATAAGAATATGCTAATATGGCAATAAACTAAAGGATGCAGGGAAACTACCCTATTACCCACATTTGCCTACTCAGCGATTTTATCCTTGAACAAAATGGATTCCCACAAACGCCTACACGCTCGTAAATGTATTCAAATAAACTAAATTTCTGTGTCAAGGCCTCAACGTTATATAAGTTTTACTGGATATTTCTGTAGAATAGTAGTTACTTTACCAAATACTTCGTTTTCACATCCAAACTTTCGAAACCAAGGAAGCTAGAGTGTTTTGAAAATAAGCTTTTTGGGCTCTTTCGAGAGACGAGTTTCTCCCAGGCGTTCCTTTTTGAAACATAGAAAACTGGGGCCAAAAAAGAAGTCATATATAGTGTATTTTTGGGAATGGTGAGCGATGAGGTGAATGTTTGGCGTTAAGACTGGTGCAGATAGTCTGGAAATTGTTGTTAAAGATATTATTGATAAGGTAACAACAGTATTAAATAAGTTTAAATAAATAAAAATGGGTTTTGAGCTTGATCACTTCAAACGACCATGCCAGGTTGTCTACTTCTAGCGCTTCCAAATAATGCGATAGATATATATTCAGTAAATATTGTAAGAAAACTGTGAGAAATTAGTTTTATCTTTCAACAATTACGGTGAGTTGATTTATCATTTCTGAAGTGGAGGCTTAGGGAAAATCGCCGGTGGGGGATCCTTGTCGTGGACTTAATTGTGCCTTGTCATCCCTTGTCATAAAAAATGTGTGAATAATGTGCGTGGATGGGGACTTTTCCCAGATGATATTGGCCTTCAAATGCTCATGATATGCAGCATAATATATCACTCCCAATAATAACTCAATTGTGATTATAATTGTTGTCAAGTTTTTTTTATTCTATCTTTAGTTTTAATATATTTAAAATATTTTTTTCATAGAAGTACAGTAGTATATAATATCAAGTAATTAGTAATCTTATCAGCCTTCCAAACAAAAACAAGAAATTACTGATGACATATCAAAAAGTACATTTTATTCACAAATATGATACAGTGGAAGATACAAACAGATTAAGCACAGTGAGCACCGTCTAAAATTATTTCTTCTTTTTGCCTTTCTTCCCAGATTTCTTTCCTTTCTTTCCCTTCTTCTTTTTCTTCTTACTATAAGGTCCAAGTTGCCTTCTGACCATTACTCCTCGCCACCAAGACTGAATCTATAAACAGCAGCAAAATTTTTAATTAATCAATAGAGCAGAATTAATATAGTACACAAACTTATGAACTATACATTATTATTTTTTAGGTACAACTAGTAATTGAAATAATGTTATCAGGCTCAAAAAGGTGATAAATTTGAAACCTGAAAGCTGAGACCAGGAACTTAATGATATAAAATATCATACAATTATTTGCCTTCCCATGTTTTAGCTTTAGGTCTCCGCTTTTATGATGTAACCTTTATGAACACAACATTGTTTTATGAATTAGGTAAATATAACTAACTATGAATTTTGAAGAACTCTGAACAATAGCAAGAACAAGTGTTTTGTATAAATTCATGTAAAAGAAAACATTACCTGTAGGTCTGATAGGATTTATGGTTTATAATAATTCAAAATCTTTGCTCACCTTGATAGTCATTCTAAGCTCCTCAGCTTCTTGTTCAGCCTGTCGTCGTGCTTTTTCTTTCTCAACTCTGTCTTCTATGACCACCTTCTCATATTCAGAGTACTGCAATAACAAGAAAGTCATGACTGCCTCAACTGCTTACTGTAGTCAGTTTAAAATGGACATCAGTTGGTAAATGGCCCTGAAACTTTTAAAGAGCAATGCTCAAATTTAATGTTACCTTCTGAGTAAGTTCCTGTAGTCTTGCTAAATCATTGGCCTTTGAAGCCTAACAATATGAGTAAACAGAGTAACAGATCAAAAAGAGTAAAATGAGTAAACAGATCATCAAATATAATGGCAAGTAATTAATGAAATCAATAAAAGATGGATGATTGTGTAAGTCTGTTAGGAGGCATGGATAAGATGAGTAGGTTTAATATATTTTTATAAATTTACTATCTTCAAGCATGATATATGATGAGTTTGCTGAATAAGGGTGAATGCCTGAAACGTTCATTAAAGAGTAGAAAACCAAGTTGCAAGTTGTGTGGCTTTTTCTTCAATTTATTCTATTTATATCAGATAGATGATATATATTGTTTTCACATACCTTCAAAACATCCAACTCATGTTGTTTTTGTTCAACATCATGGTCATATTTCTCCATCCAATATTCCACTTTCTCTTCAAGAAGCTATTCAAAATTAACCATGATTAATAAAACAACAAAAACTTACACACAACCATTATAATCTTTATTAAATAGAAACAATAACTAGACACTTTGCACTTTGTTGTGAAAGCCTCAAAAAGGACCTCAAATTCAGTGTAGAATTAATACAATCATTATAAACACACAGTTCTTCAGACTGCACACATTTGTACCATCTTGCACAAGCAACTTAGCATTGTTTATAACACTGGTCCATGGTCCCTGTAGGATTACCTGGTGGTGTTGTTTAAGATAWGCTTCAATTTCAGCATTAACACGAGCTTCTTCATCTATTTTGTACTTGAGTGTCTACACAGGTAAAAAGGTATTAAACTTGTAATTATGATTATTAATTTAATTAATAAACCAATTGTAGGCATACCTCAAGCTCTTCCTTTAGACTGTTTTCTGACTGTTGGCATCTTTTCATTGTACATGAAACACGAACCTAATTAATCAAATTAGAATTATTATTACTGATTGATATGTGTTACCATGACAACTTGTGTCAGATACAGATCACATGGTATTTAGTAAATTAAACATGGACTATATTACCTCTGCATCTTTCTTGATGTATTTTCCTTCCATACTTGTCTTGGCTTTCATTTCCTGCAGCTGGTCTTTAAGGTGTGCAATCATTTCATTCCTTTGCTAAAATCCAGTTAGCATTACACATTAATACAGTATATGTATTTGTAATGTTAATCAAAGATCATGTCAGGGAGTAAACACTGAGTAGTCTGCATTACCAGGCTTTGGGTGTACATACTATCATTCATGCAATGCTTTTATTTTGAAGTTTTGTTTATTTTTTGTACATCAAAAATAGTTATGTACATCATAATGCATTATTGTGTTATTTCTGCTCATGTGTTCTATAAGTGGAGAAAGTGGAAAAAAACTCTCTAGTTTTATGCTCATTTTACCTGTACTTCATTTTCCTTCTCTTTATTGACTTCTACTAATTGTTTCTGCAAACTCTTCACCAATTTCCGACTCTCTTCTTCTCTGTATGATCGGAAAGTAACTGAATCAGAACAAAGTTGTACGCTCTCACTTTGAGTCAAGTTAAGTGTCTTTGTTCAATAGTTCCTCAGTTTTCACACATATGTTCAAGGAGATCTTCAGTTCCCATTTCTAGCATGACAGTCACTTTTAGAAAATTGAACATTCTTATGTTGACAGGGAATGATTCCCATAACTGTCACCTGGTTTAAAAGTTAACTCACTTTAGTATAGTTTGCTGAAGTTTTGCTTTCTTTTCCTTTTCCATGGTAACTGCATTCACAAGTGACTCAAATGTATTTTTGTTTATAACTTCTGCTAAAGTTTCTTCTATGACATCCTGAAGAAATTTCCTGTGTACAAAGAAATATATAGAAAACAATTTTTAAACCAAATAATTTCCCTTGAAAATTAGCCCAGTATTACTTTGTCTCAGACCAGAACTGCACTATGGTACTTGCCAGTAAATCACATAGTTCCAGAAAATATCCACTGCATAGAGTTTTCAAAAGAAGTAGACTTTTTCAGAAATGCATTTATAAACTGAATGAAGTGCACTTCCTTGCTTTACATTACCTATCTTCTTGAATCTTCATCAAGTTGTCAGATGTCAGAGGATTTTGCTTGAAACTTGCGTTTAGAGCTGCGAAAAAACAAGCACATGACTCATATTAGTAATTATTACTGAACAACCAATTTGATGGATTTCTTGTGTAGTGTTAAAATAATTTGGTGGGTTCCCTGTGTACCTTGTTTTCCATCTCTTAGTGAATGAGCTGCTGACTTCACTCTAGCATCACTGTCCAGTACTTTTGATAGATTCTGTTGTCCCTTCATTTCTTCTCTTTGATTCAATAACTACCATCAAGTTTTAATTTACATTAGTTCTGTTTTAATAATTTTGTATAGCTTCATTTATATTTATGAGGAAAACTTGACATAGATACTAACAGTAACTACATGTGTGTATAGACAAGGAGACCAGCTAGGTTAAAATTGGTAACATTGATATCATAATAAGATTTATCAATCTATTAACTCTCCAAATTTGGTATTAATCAGATCAACAGCCAATGATTACAACCTTTCAAATAAGCTAGAATTAAAAAAATGTATAGAATGCCATGCARACTTTGAATTTTTCTAAATTCCGATTACATTTACAATGTGGACTTTCATTACATATAAGTATTATGGCACCATCATGCCAGGAGGGACCAGTCTGCCATGGTATGAAATTAGGCCATAGTTATGTTTTATATTGTGCTTTCACTTACAGATTCATAGCGCATTTCAATGTCTTTTTGTCCTTGTAAAATCTCTCCTAGTTCATCATCAACAATCTGAACACAAAAAGAGAACAGATATCAAGGAATCTCATTCTAATATTGAACCTATAAACAAGTCTGAAAAAAGTCACAATATTATAATTATACCTGATTTGAATCTAATCTTCCTTCTAGTGATGAAGGCATTATATGACCTAAAATTGCCAACTGATCAGCACAGTCCTCAAGTACAGCAGAAATGTGAATAGAATCAAGATTTGACAACATGGTTTCTGCTGAATGAAGAAAAATCATTCTTTAGTATTCTCAGGATCCCTGTGTAGAAAGAGCACAACAAGCAAATATTTCCTCAACAGACTTTGAAAGTTCAATAGCTTTTCCCTTGTTAGTGAATATTGTACAGTAAATTTTCATTGAAGCTCCGTATCCATCTAGATATATTTAGCGAAAGATTAGAACTTTGACAATAAAACTGACTACAAGACTTCTGACATGGTCGTTCTCTCCCGATTACTTCCAAAATCACACAACATTGTTAGTTTACGTCATAGAACTCCTATTTGGCTATACTAAAACAACTCTATATATCCTAATGTACCTTGCGTTGAAAACTTTCTCAGGATTTATGGGAAATATCGTAAAATTAGTTCGGTTTTTCTCGCATCGAGCTCTTTAATCCATGTTCAACACTGTTGTCATGGTTTATTACTGTTTACGTCGATACTAACCACAATGCCTTGCAAGTCAAATGAGCACAGGAACCCCATCTACGCATCTTTCGGTTAGTTCACATTTCTTCTATTAAAGATTTCACGTTCATCGAAGCAAGAAAGATTTAAAAATATAAAATATGAGTAGAACTTGAATCTATGTTATTTTCATACGATTCTCTCGTCAAATATAAGTTACTTGGTTCGTAGGGATCCCTTTATGCGAAACAGCAATCTTAAGGTCAGCAGTCATACGTCGTACAATCAAATCCAATATGGCGGACAGTGATGAAGATCTGGCTGCACTTGGAACACCATTTGAAGAACTTGAGGACGACGCTCCAAGGAAGAAGCCTGTCCCAATTCATGAACAAATTGTAACTGATGAACGGGGAAGAAGACGCTTTCATGGAGCTTTTACTGGAGGATTCTCTGCGGGTTATTTTAACACTGTCGATACAAAGGAAGGATGGACACCAAAGACATTCGTCTCGTCGCGATCACAGAAAGCTACCGACCTCACAATGCAAAAACCAGAGGATTTCATGGACGAAGAAGACTTGGGTGAGTTTGGTATCGCGCCTAAAAGAGTTGTCACTACAGAAAAGTTCTTACCAACAGATAAAGAAGGGAAACAGAGAAAGAGAGTTGTTGGTCCTGCCCGACCTTCCGAAACTGACAGAAGTGTATCTGGTATTATACAAAGCAGCGAAGTTTTGCAAGATCTTATCGTTCCCGTTAAAATGTCTGTTGGAGTTAAGTTACTAACACAGATGGGGTGGAAGCAGGGTCAAGGAATTGGACCTAGGGTTAGGCGATCTACTAGAAAGGTAAGCTTACATTTGAACTTCGTATGTACAATATAAATAGAAGAGAGAGGGAGAATTGAATGCATTATTATTTTTCATAATGCGATGTGCATTATGGCGTCATTTACTACAACTACCAGAATGCTTTGCCAACTTTCTTTTGTAATGCAATTAGTGCCAATTTTTTTATTCATCTCCAAGGGTATTAGAAATCTGAATAACAATGAAAATGCGCAAGGCTCTCTGGTAGTTGTAGTAAAGTTACGTCATAGTGCAAATGGCCTATTGTAGGAAATCAGTAATAATCTACTTCAGTTCACTAGAATTCACTGTCCACTTTGTATTGTAATTAGTGCCAAATACTTTGAAATCTCAAGAGGTAATAAGGATCTAAACAAGAGTGAATCAGATAGCAACATGCAGTTTGAATTAATGATTGCAGTTGCTAGTGTACGACAAAAAATGTTATTTTTTTTAAATGTTACAACAATTTGTACTATGCAGACATATGGATGTACACCACAGTCTAGCAGCAGCAAAGAAGAAGATGAAGGCGATATCTATGCGGCAGGGTTAATGTTTGCTCCTAAAGATGTCAAATCTATTGAGTATACTTCAAAAGATAATTTGCATGGTATAGGATATAGTGGAATAAACCCCAAAACTGTATTAATCAACCAAAGGGACTGGCTAGGGCTTGAACCAACACCAACTATAGCTGGCATAAAAGGACAGGTAAAGATATTGGCAGCATTTTCATTTGAGTATGGGTTTATCTGTTATTTTTTTATCTGGAGCTACAATACAGCTGTGATAAGTTAACTAATAATGTTCTTGTATAAACCAAGTCATGCCATAGTTTTAGGTTATAAAGTGTTTTTATTAGCTCTCCTTTTGATCAATGAAAAAAATTCAAAATAACAAATAATTAACATCCTAAATAATTGTCATCCTAATTCAATCAGGGTTTTGGTGTCGGAGCTCTTGAAGAAGAGGATGATGACATTTATYGTCAAGATCATCTGTCAAATTATGATATTGATTTAAATGTATCCTCATCAAGAAAGAGAAATGAGCTCCATGGTTGGACAGGKCCCCCACAAACATCTGAACAAGGTATTTTAGCTAAAGGTGATCTCTTATGACTAAGTAGTGGTGTAGATATCAGTCATAGAAATATACCTTGAAAACATTTATTAAGAAAAGATCTACAGTGCATATGATGATGATTGTGATACTATTGCAGGACTTATAACTATAATCATATTTGTGGTAATAACAATGCTATTCTATCTTCTTTTCTAAAGGAGGCCTGCTGTCAGTGTTTACTAAAGTCTCCAAACCTCCAACAAGAAAAGTATACCCTCCCCCTGTTGTACCAAGGGATTTTGTGCCTCTTCACAAGGTTGATGCTAAATTAAAAGAAACTCAAATAACAGAAAACACTCAAAACATCTCTWCAACCAAATCTGGTAATGTGAAACTAACAGCCAAGGAGAGAGGAGAGGCCTTGGGAGAGAAACCCCTACCGACCCCTAGAAAGTCAGTCTTTGACTACATAGCTGAAGAGGAYAAAACAAGATTAAAAGAATCACGTGAAAAAGAAAAACCAAAWCAGCAAAGTAGATGGTCTGATAGTGATAATACCCACAGCAGTGTTAATGTTCCTAAAGGAATGGTATTCAAAAGTAGTGGATTCAAGCCTTTTGCAAAAGATCCACAAAAACAAGCTAGATATGAASACTTCTTGAGTGGAAAGACTTCTGATGTTCATCAACCAGGAACGGACAGGCAAGTGCCCATTAACTCAAATCATGTCTGCGTTCATCATCATTAGTTCATTTATGTACTCAGTAAAACAATCCATTCATTGAACCAATTTTTTATCAATCATTCATTCATTTATCTAATCGTTCATTAGTGTATGTACAAGTAATTGACCATTGGACATCAATCATCCGTTTGTTTGTTTCTTTATTTGTTAATTTTATTAACAATTCCCAAATAGACTTATTATGAATGAATTCTTCCTATCTTTCCAAGCAGTAAGATGACTGAATGGGAGAGAGAATGTGAAGCTGAGGAATTCGTACGYGCAGCTACACTCTATCGTCCTCTTAGCCAAACCATGGCTGCTCGATTCACTTCTGCAAAAGAGTCTGAAGAACCATCTRCAAGCGAAGAACCAGGATTAAAAGAACATAAATCTGCTGCAACAACAAAGATATTTGGTGCAATGACTCGACAGAGGTTTGAATGGCATCCTGATAGAATTCTGTGYAAGAGATTCAATATCCCCGATCCWTATCCCGGTTCAGGATCCACAGGGATCCCATCAGGTCAAAAAACCAAGAGTTCAATGGACGTGAAAGTGGTTGARGACGTTAAATCCATCGAGTACAAACCAGATGATGAAATTAGAGATGAAAATAGAGGGGATGATGACACGAAAACSTCTGCTTTAATCGCYGGGTTTCAAGCAATGGCGTCACGACCTCCTGYTGCAACACAGGAGACCGAACWACCTGGTRTGTCTTCAAGTCAGGTAGAGACGAACGTAGATGAGAATAGTGATGTTGTTAAACTAGCTTCTATGGACCTTTTTAAGGCTGTTTTTGCTGAAAGTTCCTCAGAAAGCGACTCGGAGGAAAGCGATAAAGAAGAGGACGATAACGAAGAGGAAACTAAAGGCGTAGATGTTGATGAAAAGGAGAAATCAAATGAAAGCGACAGTAAGATGTTTCAAACTAACAATACAAAATCAAACGACTTTTYATCTCAGAACGAAAAGGTTATATCAGAATATCCAGATCAACTCGAAGAACAGAAAAAACAATCAGTTTATAGTGCTAATGATACGTTCGGCCCAGCTCTTCCGTCGTCTAACACTTGTAGATCCTTGAAGTTAACGGATTCAAGAGAATCTGGCAAGGAACGAGAACGAAAATACAAACAAAAAAAGAAAAAGAAAGAAAAATCCTACAAATATATGGAAACGGACAGCGAGGACAGTATGGAAGGACAAYATGAGAGATATAAGAGTAAGAGAAAAGAAAGATCAGAAAAAGATATTTATAAACACAAATCAAAGAGTAAAAAGAAATCRCATTCAAAGTAYTCTGARAACGAGAATAGYGAGGAAGATYACAGAAACTATAATAAGCACAAAAAGAAAAAAGAAAAGAARTCCAAAGATGAAAGAAAGCACAAAKCTAAGGATATAAGTAAAAAACAACGARGGAGCATTATCRATTGGGAAGATTACGAGGAGAAAACATTTGATAGTAATGTCGCATCGAATTCCAAAAAAGACTTTCATCAGGAGAAAACTAGTGAMAGATGGAAAACTGATTCCAAACAAGGAAAGTCAGAAGATAAAAGTGATGATGACACTGAAAGTGGATCTATGAATCAAGATATCATGAGTAAATTGAAGAATATTCAGCGGTTGAAGGAAGGGAGGAGAATGCGTGCTGCAGATTTTATGTAAAGTACACGTAGTAGTACTTATCCTTGGTTGGGTGCTGCCATTTCATTCTTGTTCGTCAAATTCTAGAACATACTAAGGTTAAATAAAATTCTAAATGTGTTTGTGGCACATGATTTGCTAATTTAAAAAACAAACGGACAAGCTTGTAATCGCGATCAAAATTCAAATATTTGTAATTTTTAATACATCGGTACGTTTTACGTGCATATTCTTGCCAAACTGTTCTATTAACCTAGGCGAAATAAAAACCTGCGTCATCATTCCGCACCGCACCATCATTCCTTGCCAGATCGAACTTTGTCGTCACAAAAAAACTGACTTGAATCAAGGTAAAAATAGGTCTCAAGGAAATGATCTTTTTCCTAGATGAGTGGGATGACATGCCTTACGAATGGAAAAAAGCCTGACTTTCAAGTCATGTTCAAAGATGCCGATGCTGTTACAGAAACTCCAGCATCTATCGTGTTTGAAGATATTTATGAATGTTTCCCCGATGCTAAAGTGATTCGTGACAACGAGCAAGTATGGTGAACGCAACTATTATGATGAATTAAATCAATTATTTTGAATAAAATCTAATTACTAAAAATTGTCCAGCCGGAAACCGTATCAGTTAACTTATCTGTAGGCATTCACATTATATGTCGCATCAGTACATAAAAGAACAACATGAATTAAAAATCAACTTGTTAAAAAGTAAAAAATGAATGCAAATTTTAAGAATTGACTTTATTGTATTATTTGTTCAGGTTCATTTTCATAAGAGGGCTGCCTTTAGGTAGGATGAAAAGTGAACATGCTGAAAAGGAGGGAATCGAACCGGAAATATGGTGCAGTTTGCGCAGTTGTTGATTGCAGTACTAATGTAATGTGGATGCAAGTGGGTGAGACATAACTTGCACCCCCGGGCGGGGGGGGGGGGGGGGGGGGGGGGGGGGAGTTAGGGGTAACTTGTACTGACGAGAAACGGTATACAATATGGAAGTCAAGCAAGAATGATCATTGGACTTTGTCAGTGTCTATTTAAGAAATTTGTGGCGTTTCCTCTTTTTTACCACAAATGGTTTCATCGAATCAACAAAGCTGTTATCCATGAGATGTTGTCGGGTTATTTTGACTTGCGACGTGTTGCACTTGACTTCTGACATCGTGGGCTCCCTGTGTTATAATCCAAAAATCAAAATGGCGAACGATCRATATTTGAAAGCCTACGCTGGCAATGAAAACTGGTGGAATCCAAGTGGTTTGATTCACACTGCTTTACTAGCTTCCGTTTATATATTCTTTGCATGTTCGAGGACGTTTCTGATTAAATTTTCAATTCGTGGTAAGTGATTTGCTGTCACATGTTCACGCATTTATTCACGTACTCTCAGATTTGTTTTAAGCTTACTAATTTTAAAGTTACAGTAACTTAATAAATAAGTAACACAATAAGTAAGTATTCCACATTTTCAACATCTTCTATTGCTATAAACAACAGCTGGGATTTTAATGTGAAAGGCACGGCATGGTATACTCCTAGTATTTAAACAGCATTTAGGAAAAATATAAAAAAATGGGATATTGGAGCCACCTAGGGGCTGGGCTCGGATTTAATGCGGGGATGATCTTCTGAAATTTTGAAAATTATCMTAAAAGTTCCTAAGTCTTACAAAATTAGGTGTGGCTACATAAGATTTTTACAACCAGGGATGTGATACCTTCCCACCCCTTTAAAGTAGTCAAGGTTTTGGCTATTTTTTAGCTATGCCCCTCATATTACTTTTTAATATCTTAGGAGAAGGGTATGACTATCTACCAGTAACTGTTAATGTCATGGCAGAACTCTGTAAATTTGTTGTGTGTCTGGTGTTGGCTATTTATGTTCTCATCTTTCAAGGTGAGTGTTGCAATTATTGAGATTGATTATATAAAAAGAGCTTAGATTTGAATCGTTAACACATTCAGGTTTGAGAAATTCTGAGATCTGAAAGGATTGATAAAACTAATTGCCTAATCACTATACAAGTGATCTGCTTTTGTTTTTCAAAAGTTGTTAGTATTTCAAATTACAATAGGTTTACATGTGAAATGATTTTCTCTTTACCTTCAATTTTTCAATCAAATAATGTCATTCTGCACTGTTGATGGCAATGTTAAATTTCAAAGGTCAGATTTTCATGATTTTTTTTCCAGAGGGTAAACCATTCAAGGAAGCTTTTCATCCGTCGCATGTCAAGTGGAAGGAGTTCTTTAAATGGTCTGTGCCAGGACTTCTCTATTTCTTTGATAATTTATTGGGTTTTTACATCTTGGTTCATCTTCCTCCAGTAAGYATAATTACTTGCCAGTGAATAATGTGTAGATCAGAAAGGAGAAACTCCTATGATAATCTCATTTGGTTATCATATAAACAGAACTGCATGATTAACATCAGTCTAAATTACAACAGTTTCTGTTTTCAAAAAGAATAAAAAGATTTGAAAGGTTTGAATTTATACTACTARAAGTACTTACAGACATTATAGACAGTTTGAGTATTTCATTCATTTGACCAGTTAATCATTAGTGAACATTGTATTACTCCTCAAATTGTAAAATAAATACTGACAAAAATATGTTTATTCTGTGAATTAAACTCGTTTCTTTTGATTCTCTTCAGGCTGTCTACAGCTTGATGGGTAACTTTGTCATTATCACAACAGCTGTGCTATTCAGGATAGTTCTACGGTAAATTATATTTATATTTAACAGGGGCAGTTAGTATTAACCTGCTATTCCCTATTGCTTCTTCTGATAGCTCACTAATAATCCCCAGCATTGTGATAAGTGATGAGTCCCTATGTGTGAAGTTTCAATCAAATGAAAAAAATAGTTTTATTATCGTAATTGTACAATTTACTTTTCTCATAGGAGACCATTGTCCAAAATCCAGTGGGCATCATTGGTGATTTTATTCCTCTCAATTATGTCCTTATCGAACATGAATCAGACTGACCATCATCATCATCATCATCATCATCATCATCAAGTCATCTTTCATCAAAATCAAAATCAAAACTCACCATATCAACATAAAGCTGTCACATACAACTCTACAGTGGAGGCTCCACCTATAATCTCAAAGTTCTACATCAATGAAGGTCATATCTTGGTTCTAGTGCAGTGTGCACTGTCTTCACTTGCCAACATTTACAATGAAAAAATATTCAAAGAAGATGATGGCATGAAACAGAGTATTTATGTTCAGAACAGCAAACTCTATTTTTTTGGGATAATCTTCAACTTCTTCACTCTCGTAATCAAGCCAGACTTTCATAGACATTTGTTTGAATGTGGTTTCTTTAGTGGATATAACATTCAATCAACAATTCTCATTTTTGTTACTGCTTTCTTTGGCCTCGTGGTTGCACTTATTTTAAAGTTCAGGGACAATATGTTCCAAGTCATGTCATTTCAGCTTTCAAATGTATTCATTATYACTTCATCCGTTCTGTTTTTTGACTTTCATCCTACTTTAGAGTTTTTTCTTGTTGCACCTATAGTTTTGCTGGCAATATTTATCTTCAATGCAGGAAAGAATGGTAACACTTTGAGACAAAATGATCAAGATAATGGATACACTTACTTCCCATTAGCAACAAAATAACACAGTTTCTCAGTAAATTAGTTTTTTTTGTAGAAAGAATATTATTATTACAATTACAAAGTAAAACAATTTTAATTTATATTATAATATATATTTTTGTCTTTTAGTTACATTTCTGTGAATTTCGCCTTTGAAAGGCATTGAATAWTAAATGGTTTATTCAACAAACACATTAAATTATTTGTATTAAGTATATATTTGCACTTTTCACCCTATTCCATCCCTAAACATGAAATTTTCCTCTGTAAAAAATGGTACCATAATCTGACATTTAGAAGTTTGCTCTTTGCCAAGTTAACAAAATTTTACCATTAGATAATATGTAGTCATTTTCATTTTATAAACAATTAAGATTACAAAGGTGACTGTATAATAGTGTCCAATTATTGTAAACATTTTTTTCTACTGAAACAGGACACGGCTGACATGATAAAACTACATGACAATTACTTTTTACATATTATTAGGTAAGTACTRTTGAAGATTAACAAATCTTATTTTTTGTTTTTGTTTCACATTTCTAAAATATCCAATATCCATCACCCATGTTTTTATCCTATCTAGTATCTAAATACAATTTTAAAACTGTATTTTGTATATATATTTGAAATTCAAATTTCAATAGAAAATTCTTTATTATATATGTTAGGATTATTTAAATAATTCTTATAGTGTTTGGTTAGAGCTGTTTGCAGAAGCCCGTGAAACYTAATACTGTACTAGCTGTTAACTAAAAGTGCAATAAAATAATGAGTGATAATGTTGTATAGTGTATTTCATGGGTTAATGACAAATAACCTCAARCCATTGAATGAATTGTACTAAATGTCTATGAAAACAAACCTTAATAATAATTATACTAAAAAGAGTTTAGTTAAGATCACAGTATGCTCTGAATGCTATTAAACTTCCCTTGATCTCCTCTAAGTAAAGCTTCCCATTGGCTGGTAGAAATAGCACGGTTCCTCTATCTAGTGATAAATCAGAAGCCTTGATCCTTGCAGATCCTGTAATGACTATTAGAATACTTGGCCCACTTAAACCTTTAACACTATATGATGAAGTACCTTCAGGAACCTGTGAAAAACAAAATCAAAATGAAATCTCACAAAATCCATGCCTAATTTCTCTCTCAAATTGTCAATAAAAATTTTTAAAAGAAGGCAAGGAGCTTCTGAATTTGAGATGATATAAGAATAGCTTGTAATTGCTCATTTTCTGGGTGCATCTTTTTCCTTAATCAAGCTGTCACCAAACACATGTTACATGTAAAAATTTCCATTATAAACAGTTTTTGAATCATCAATACCTGAAGTCTCATSACAGAAAAGTCTTCCACTGGTGGGTTGTAAATGGCCACATTAGGGTCATCRGGGTCCTTGTGTGAAGGGAAGATGTTCTGTCTAACAGTGCTGGGTTTGTAATCCARCATTTCACATAGMGTCTCTGCATCTCTATACTTTGGAGTTAGTCCAGCTCTTACAACATTATCACTACAGGCCATGCATTCAATACAGTCTACAAGAAAAGCACATGCCATTAAGGACAGATAAGCACAAATGTGCAAAATAAAGTTGTTTTTATATGTCTCACCTCCTGACAAATATGCATGAGGTAAATTTGGACCAAGAAACATAGCTTCWCCTGGCTGTAACACAACATGGTTCAAGAAAAAGGCACAAAAACAGCCAACATCACCRGGGAACTGACTGTTTAGTCTAAGAATAAGATCACCTAAGCAAGAAGATGTGTCTTGACCCATGTCTTTCATTTTGTTGATCCGTGATACAAGTGCCTTTARATGCTTTTGTATGGAGTCCTCAGACTTAACCATTAATGCAGTGAAGCACTCTTTGAGTCCAAACTGAACATTGTCCTCTGTGKAAACAGAAAATATCAAAAAYCTAAAGAATKTTGTGGCCAAATAAGGATTAATGTTGCAGTAGTTTATTACAACTGAGCTTGATGTTTCACTAGTGTTGTAGAAATCCTTAAAAATATGTATGAAATTCAARAAACTGAGCTTTTCATTATTATTTGAGAAATCTGTATCATAAACGAGTAACRATGATAATTCATTTACCTGTAGTTTGATTGATGATCAATGTTCCAGCATCACCCACTACTGCAGCAAACTCAGGAACATTTATCAAATAATCCTTTATTHCATCAATTGGCCTAAAGCCACAAAGACCTTCAAAGACTGTTAAAGCTAGAGAAAAAGAACAGATTGAAATTTATTGGCTGACTGGGTCCAAAGTTTGATTTCTTGACTGACTGTTTAATTCTTTGATTGATTGATTTTATTGGTATATACCTATAGCCATTTCAGGTTTATGATTGGGATCCTTATAAACCTCTGGTCTCTCTGAATGAAGTATTTCAGCATGTTGCTTATTGGGGTGAGCTTGAATAGACAGTGACTTATTGACTGATAATACTTTCAGCAGAAATGGAAGTTTTCCTCCAAAATGTGCTGTAACTTCACTACCAAGACATTCTTTATGGTTTTCAATCCATGACWGTAGGCTTTGTTTTTCTRACGAATCTTTATTTATGACTTGAGAAGGTCCATTGGGATGTGTGCCCATCCACAGCTTCAACAGAAAAAGATGTGCAAACAATTTTTTTTATATAATCACTGGACCATTGCTGTTGCTTATTTATATTTTATTCCTTTATTTTATAATTTGGTTCAATTATTGATGATTTCTTTCATTCATTAATTCATTTAATATTTCATTCATTCACTTTACCTCTGCATATGGTTTATTTTCAAGCATAAAACAAGGATCATTGCTTGCAAGYTGTGCTACTGTACTGTTCAATCCAATCTTACCCCACGCATATGTTTGTACAGAACATTGCAACTGTATGGGTTCTACAGATAAAAATATAAATGATAGGTTATTGAAAAAATAKAATCAAGAGTAAGAGCAAAATGGATGGGACGTTTTATAATCGTGTTGGAAAATAAATTATGAATGGAAGGATGAGGTATGGAATGGCATGAACAAGGTTTCTTTCAATGAAAACCACTGAAACAAAGATAAATTACAATCACAGATTTAGCTACCATGGTAACTCCTATATGCAGAAAAGCATGGATGCCAATTATTATACTATTAACAAGAAACTGAATGTGTGTGTAGTTTCATGCTATATTAGCATCTTGTACCTCGTCTCCCACTCTAAAAAACATCGATAATAAAAATATTCTCAAATGCTCCCCCCTCAAATGTAACTATTAAGTTACATGTACAACTTCCAGTTTTTACGATAAATTTCACTTTATGATACAGAAAATAAACAGAAACTATTAAAAACTAAAAGTTGCTATAGAATTTCAAGGTAGTTCCTGAAATGATAACTTTTAAAATACTTAAAAAGAGCTCTCGGAAAAATTCTAACAGATTATGTTTAATTTAAATGAATATAAATTAATAAAAGTTCTACCTTACCTAGGGCAGTACTCATCTTTAGCTTCTGCAAAGCCACAAACACAAACAASTTTTCTACGTTTACAATTACTGGATCGTCCGCTGTTCACAAATGAGTCTATACGTGTTGAGGATGTTACGGGGGAGGGGAGAGGGAGGGGATAGTTTGAACGTCTAGAATCTGGAATACATTTTAGAAACTAGCTTTTTTTACTTCATTTGAAGTTAGATATTTCGGTAAGCAATTATTTCATGTTATTTCCCGTATTACTATATTAAAAACAAATTTTCTTTAATCAAGAYCTTCATTTGATATAAAAATCCTATCCTGGGGAGGGGTACAGTAAGCAAATCTCAGTTATTCGAGCACTTCAAGATGGCGGACATGTCATGAASTGATCAGAGAGGTTTTCAAGACGTTACACTTAAATAATTCAGTGTTTGTCGAGGTATGACTAACTATTACTGTACAATTTACCTGCTTCTAATACAAGGTACCATACCTGTATTAGAAGCAGAGTTTTTGATATTAAACGCAATTTTCGTCACAAAACGTGCCAAAAATGGCCTGCTCAAAAAATTGAATATTAAGTTAAATCTTTATYATATTACTGCAGTTAGTAGTTTAGAACGTGGTTTGTAGGTTTACTAAGATTTCTCTTGTCTGTGAAATGAAGCATAGTATAATTTGACTCGGTTTTTGACATTTTACACGTTAGAAATTCTTTTGTCTGCTTAATAGTAATTGGAAATATAAACAAAATGTRGCAGCCATGTTGAATAAATACCGTTTATACAATGAAAATCTATGCAGGTTTAAATCCTTTTTCCTTATTTTCATTCAGAAATAGCTCATTGGAAATGGCTTTCATTGGAAGCCCRAATGAAGCAGCGATTAAATCACTGTTTAACCAGATTATCAGGTCTGGAATGCCATTACCAATAGATAATCCAAACTTGGACATCATGAGATTACAGGAGAAGCTCATGAGATCCAATCGAGATATTGAAGAACTTGAAAACAGAATGAGAGAAGAGAATAGACATTCAAGAGAACGAGAGAACCAAAGAGACAGGAGTTATCGTGATGACGTTGACAAAGTCGATGCAAGGGGTCAACACAGGTCTAAATTCTTTGGAGGTGCATTAGACAGAGGTGATRCTAGGAGCTTGATGCAGTCTGAGATGTCATTGGAGAGTGATAGTAGATGGGGGAGTGGGGATAGCTTCAGAGATTTAGATGACAGAAGAATGTCTTTAGAGGAAAGAAAGAGACCCAGAGATCGTCCTTCAAGATTTGAAAGCATAGACAATCACAGGAGATCTGATCGGGAWATGGCGGCCAGTTTTAATCCCCTTTTGCAGTTTCCAAGTWCATATAGTATGGGGCAAGATCTTTTTCAAAGCAGTTCTAGTTCAGATATGTGGTCATCAATGAGTGATGCTGCCAGGCAAAGCTATATGTATGGAATGGAAAGTGSAWCATTGAGACCACCATACACTCTAGAGCCACCACCTGCAAGTCAAACCAAACCAATCCTCTCAGACAAACCTCTAGGTTGCCAYACTGTATTTATTGGAGGACTTCGAGATCAAATCACAGAAGAACTCTTGAGGGAAATTTTCTATACRACATGTGGAGCTGTTGACACTGTCAGGATATCAGTAGGGAAAGGTGGTACCAAGTTTGCACATGTGAGATTTGTKGAGGCAGAGTCTGTTGATATAGCTGTAACCTACAGTGGATATAAACTTTACTTAGGAACAGGAAATGAAAGTTTTGGAGGACGGATACATATTGACTATGCAAAGTCCAGAGAAGATGAGAAGGAGTATGAAATCATGCTAAGAGCAAAGGAAAGGGAAGCAAGGCATATGAAGAATGACATGGAGAAACCTTTGATAATGTATTCAGAAAGTGCTGCATCRGAACTTATGCAAAGCATTCGTTCAACCTCAGGTTTCCATGARTCTTTTCAAACGCTGGCACAATGGCTTGAGAGAGGTGAATGTACAAGAAGAACCTCATCAACTTTCTACAACTTGTTRAGTGCTGTCCATAACCACATCAAGAGACTTGTCAAAGAGAAAAAAGAGCATGAAGAAATCGTGGAAAGGCAGAAGGTTGAGCAAGAAGAAAGAGCAAAACTTATGATGGCTCAAGGTGTGACTTGTTTTAACATCTTTATGTAGTAACATATGTGTCTGGACATCCATCTAGTAGAGAACTTGAGCTTTGAAGTGTTTTTGCCTTTTTAAGTTAATTAAAGGTTAGTTCTTTTTACTAATTGYGGTTTGTTTCAGGCACTGCTATCATGAAAATMTTCCAAGCAGCATCAAAGAAGAGATGTTGGGATCATTTCAGCAAGGCTCAGAGAAGAAACATTGATGATTGGCATCAGCAAGTGGAAAAGGTGAGAACTGAAGAAACAAATGAAACTCATTCACTTCTGTGCAGTTTACTTTATAAATTTCATGTATATTTTATAATTCATATATTTTTAATTCTCTTCTGAATGCAAGCCTCTTCTTAGGATGAATACACCAGGAATCACTCATTTCTTTAAATGTAGTACATGTAATTGAGCTTGTTGGAGGTTGTGGGTTTATTGAAATCTGACATTTTATAGCTTGGATAATTGATAGCGAGTTGATATGGGGATTTTAATTTAGCCAACAAGACAAATAGAGAAAGYATTGTCCAGTGTGTACGTACTGTATGGTTTGATAAAGAAACTACATGTTATTTGTGTAAATTACAAAAAAAGTGCTTATAAGGCACAAACCAAACAGACAATATCTCCGTCTTTGGGTGTGAAGTACCTGCTTGGTAGTAATAGGCAAAAAGGGAAAAGCTAACATAAGCATACTCCCTGACTCATTGGAAAACAATGTATGTTGGCTGTTTCCTGCAGGAAATAAAAATAAGTGAAGAAGAACAATTGGAGAAACGTGAGGAGGTAGGTATGGATCTTGATGATGATCAAGAACACAGCGAAATCAAATCAGAACCCACYAGCAGTCTAGTAGACAATGAGGAAACAGGTGAACCAATGGCAAAGCAGGCTAAAACAGGTAAGATTTCAGTACAAAAGCCACTGTGTTCACACAAGTGAAATAGAGGACCTACGTACTTTATATGTAGCTGGAGGTATTGTGATTTATAATCAAATTGGGCTTGATTTCTAGCCAGCCGATTACTTTTACATACAAATGGTTGTAAACTAATGGGTTTGTAAGCAATAAAACTATAAATAAAGGGATTCTGGTAAGTAAGTAATTTATGCTTTATGGTTAGGTAGTGGGTAACAGCATAATTTTAAGGTTTTGGGATKATTTATGCGTCTGTGGCGGTAAGGTTTATCAAGACAATAGTTTAATTCTTCACATGGTCTTAAAATTTGTCCAAAATGTAGTAGACATTATCCTTTACAAATTGTTCATTCTTTGGTTTGATTTTCTTTTAGTTTGTCTTTGTGTTTTTGTGTCAATTTGTTAGCTTGTTTTTTTTTTTAATGGAATGGTTCTGTTTGTGTCTTTTATATATATATATAATTGTAAACAGAATACTAAGGCATTGTACCACATTGATATATTAGAATCAGAAGAAGCCACACAGGCTGCTTTAGAAGCACAGGACATCAAGTTTCGAGCGCAAAATGCAAGCTTGAGAGCTCTTGCTGAAAAAAATGCATCACTSATGGGGGAAGTGGAGGGTTACAAGAAGGAAATTGTAGACCTTAAGCAGAAATTTGCCAGTGTATTTCAAGACAAGGATTTGCAGGTGAAAAGATGAGCAGTAGCATTTGATGGAGTGTAATGACAGTTGTTTAAGAAAGTGATGATGATAATTGTTTCATTGATATTATCAGTTGCAGGCCAGTAGGCTGGGGGGCTTTGGGGGTTTTGCGCGAACCTCCCCACAAGCTTAAAAGGTCCAATGTTTCTCGTTTTTTATTGTTCTATCTTAAAATTATTTTGTTATGAACTTATTTTGTCTGTGCATTGAACAAATGTAGTTGAACATTTTAATTTATGTCCGCATTATGAAAAAAACGAACCCATCCCTCGTAAGGCAGCCTACAGGCCTGAGTTGATGATGATGATGATGATGATGATGATGATGATGATGATGATGATAGTACTTTTTTGGAATGATCCTCATTTGGGATTGATGACCATGAAGAACTTTTATTTTTTGTATCATTACTAGTATTCAAAGTGTTCATTCCTTTTGTGTTTTTGATTTTAAGATTGCAAGGTTAATGACTGCTGTACAAGGATTGCAAAACTTCCTTCAAAATGTTACTTTGAATACACCAGAGGTAAGATGAATGGTATTAACTTTGTATATTCAAACTCTCACATACAATACTACATCTTCTAAAGTTATAATAATTTACTATTTAGCTACTGCAAGTCTTTATCATAATTAATCTCCATTCATTGTACCTAGATAAATCCCACTGATATCGAAGTAGAGGTTGATAAAGAAAGTAAAGACGTTAGTAATAACACGGGACAGACTACTGTTGAGCAAAGTTCTCAAATTCAACAAACCTCAATAGAACAACTTTCAAGTGATCAGAATGAAGAACCAACAGAGAATGAAAAACCACCGGAAAAAGTWGAGCAAAAGAAAGCAAAGAACGAAGGTAAAAGAGGACCTCGAACGCGAAGACGAGGAAGGAAGAAGGAGAAACAAATAACAGAGGAGGAGGTTGTAGAGGAAGTGGATAACAAGGCAGAAACTGTCACAGATGCTACAGAATGCTCAGTCTCCTTAACGATTGACTTGGCGAATCCTGCTGACGGGGACGTAGACAAYTTGACCAAGGATGTTAGTCACTCTCAAAGCGCATATAATCCTGGTGTTGTACGCTTGACAAGCCAAGACATGACAGTCGTTGGGCTTCTTTGTTCCTATCTTCAAGTTTGTCCCTATGGGGCCACCACTGAGCAGGTGCTTAACCACATACAGCGCCATGTACCTGGAGTCACCACAGAAGGACTGGCGCTTATTCTTGACGGTCTTCCAATGATATTTGTAGGAGATGGTTTGGAATTTTATAGTAAAACCTGGAAATTTAAACAAGTACTGACATAAATGAATATATTGAAAACAAACCATGAAAAAAACGTTTAACAAACTAGTCTAGCATTTGAATGTTCAGTTTTACTAATTTTTGACGCAAAGTCTTTTGACAATATTTAACATGTTAATCTTTTTTTTTTCTTATTTTTTGGCTGAATTTTTTTTTGGAAATAAAGTATATACCTGTCATTCCTACCAATGCGTGTTTTTTTTAGAATTTTAGAATTTGGCACGCATATCGTTAAGTCGGTCGAAACGAGCAGCAGCAACTAAAACGCCATTAGACCTTCCTAATATATTTTTCGGTTTTCGTTTTTTTCATATTTTTCGACTCTCATTTTTCAAGATCCAAAAAAGTAACTATAGGTAAAATTGTCACGAAAAATGTCGTCAAGTTAATTTGGTATAAGAATGTATACACATCAGTGTTAAGTTTTGATCACTTCTTCAGTGATGTTGCGAGTCTCGATTTTTGTGCTGATTTTTGTGATTTCTCTCCTTTGCTGCCACAAGTTAGACACACAGGATTCACTGTCATATAATCACGACATCTATTCGTTAACCCAATATATAAACCATGTTTATACAAAGGCGTTTTTTGGTGATTTTAAATTCTATATATAATATTTATTTTTTTCATTTTTTTCCGACCGCCCGACCCACCAATGGGAGTTGCTAAGTACTCTGCGAACAGATCTACTTTTCTGTTCGCAGAGTAGATGCTAGCGACGGGAAACAAAAAAAATATATGAGGATGGCCTTGCAAAAAAAATGGCTAGTGGTTATTCTCCATGGACGTAGCTGATCGGAACTGGATCTAGATGATGAACGTAGATAATGCTCTAGGCAACCAGGAACTGCTGTTGTCTAAATTTCGGTTTGATTCACTTAAAGTTTTTGTTTCTTTCTCCGAGAAACGAAAATCACCAAAAGGAACGCAATAGGTGGCTTATCCCAGATTAGATAAACAAAAAGCAAAAATATACTTGTATGTAGATCGCAAATTTTTATGGATTTTATGCTGATGTCATGTGTGAAAGCTGTAATTTGTAGTGCACTTTGAGGCAGTCCCAGTTTTCAACTAATAATTCTGACTAAAATTCGATGAGCAGGTGGTCAGGGGAAATTGAAACGCTGTCATCAAATTTATCATTATTTGGTGATTATAATGTCAAGGATAAAAAAGACAAAATTAAAAAACTTCCAAACACATGTCCCGAATGATCATTACATGTTTCAATTGTTGAACAGCATCCTCAGAATCCCAAGGGCTTCTGAGTATGGTTGAAATTGAGGAAACTAGCGGTAAACTATAGTTTGAGATGCGTCGATGTTTCTAAAGAAACAGTACGTTTGTGCAAAAAGATAAATTTTAACGTTGCAAAAAAGTAGGCGAAACAACTTACTGACGTTTCGGACGTTAATCCGTCCGTCGGAGTGGTTGAACAGGTGACTGATTTACTGGATCGACTTTCATTTGACTGTGAATGGTGAAAGAACAAAGTGTTTATAGTTTAAAGGAAAATATGGTCCGATATAGCACCGTTTCATACTGGATTCGTACTGATGATAAATACATATTCGACAGTTTGACGGTATTTTTTACAAAAACAAGGACAGAATATTGCTTGCTTGTTTTAATAGTCGCGCGAAATTATCTCAGTTACATACTATGTACTATTAGCCAGCTTGCTCCCTTTGCTTAAATTTCATGCAGCTATACGTACTCTGACGCTAGCTTTATAAAAAGAACAAAATCTTTAAATCGTGTTTTTATGATAAGCCAGACTAATTGAGCTGATCCATATTAACATTGTAGATTACTGCTCACTGATGACTGAYGACAAGATTTAAGCAGTAAATGTGTACAATATGAACACTCTCGCATGAAGTAGTGACAATGTTATAAAATTAGATTAAAATAAAAGATGTTTTTTGCGGGCTTGAGATGGAGTAGGTGAATCATCCGGCTGTCATCTGTTTAATCAAGGTCTGTCTGAAAGCGCACTCTAATCTAACTCCCTTTTCTAACCTATTCGTGCAACCAGAGTTAGTCTGGTGTAACTGACAAAAGAAAAATCCCTGCCTTAGTGTATCGTTTTTTGTTAGTAAGCCATTCAAGGATATTGTGTCGTCTTCATTCAATGCGGTCAGAGCAGTCTCACTAATGGTTGTTACTCTTTGAAACTTGAAACGACTCAGTGAGAGGAGCCTAGCTACAATGGGACAAGAACGGGTAGCTGACCAGGTGGCCGAAGAGATCTAGATTTACAAATAGTATAGTACTTACAATAAAGCTATCCAAACTACGTCCGATTTGGGCGCGTCAATAGCCTTGATAGGTAAATATTTCGCTGACAGAATAAAAAGAACTATGAAATTGTAAACAAGAAGTTAATAAAAAGGCAGGCTTTTAGTATTCATATGTAGTTTTGTGACGTCTATGCAGCGAGAGCGTCAGTAATGACAGTAAAGAGCTCAAGTTTTGTTTTTTAATAACTCAAGCCGACTAACGACAATCTAAAGGTAAGAGTTTCTGACGAAAAAATAATATACTTATAGAAAAGGGTAATAGAATTCTGCTTTGAATCCTACCAGATGAAAGTACTCAGACATCTCGAAGTGGATGGCCGGTTAAGAAAAAACAGTGAAAAAAAAATCTGCTTGCACCTTGGAATAAAATTAAGCTGCCTTTTGAATTCACATTTGAATTCGTCGTATTATGTRTAAATGGCTSTATTTTATTGGTCTACTTCGCTACACAAAGTGTTCACACAAGACTAAACAAATGAACGTCTTCTTTGTCCGGCAAAATCAAAGAACTCATGAGCRATGACTCAGAATTGCTGTCTCTTAGATTATGGATACGTATCTTAAAGTTTTCAGTTATGGTTTAATCTTGTAGATCATAGTTCCTATTAAACTATGTGCAGATCATAGAGGATGAGTCTATATTGTTTTTACTTTGATACACTAATTCATCTTGCACTAATGTTTTGTCGAAATGATGAGGAAGTTATAGTCAACCGCTATAAGCCTCATTGATAATTTACACTTTACTGCCTTTTTAGGTCAAAAAAAGTTCAGAAATGAATTTTCTGGGTCGTTTTGCACAGACAGACGTACATTTTGCACCGAAAATTCACAAAAGCACTTTAGCGCGTGCGCACCAGTTTTTTACCTTTTCGATTATTTAAACTACTAGCATAGAAATACTTCCAGATTGTATGTAAAAAGATTAAAAAGGAAACGAAACAAGCTTGTAAGAGAAAAGAAATAAATAAAGGTGTACTAAATTAACCAAATAAAAGATAATTAAAAAACAAAACAGTCAGGCTTCAAAGCAAATGCATAWTATAGTGTAACTTGGTCTAATATACAAACAAACTTGGCAGGTATAAAAAATTCAARTTGACTTCCTCATTCRRTTCCAAAAACAATATTTCAACTATCAACCGGAAATAAAGCCATTTCAATGTTACTGTCAAGTTTGAACATGTTTACAAGCCACGTGCCAATTCTAACGTTTTGTAAAGTGTGTAGTATTTTGATRTAACCTTTCGAAAACGTGCAGTTYTTGAATGTTTGCYAAACTTGCTAKATGTGACAAGTCGAGCAAAACTRCGATTGCKTTATTGACTGGTATAATTTAGTRCTCTCTACTTGAAGAAAWACTAATATAACAAGCACGATTATATGTCATAACAGACAGTCGTTTTCAGACAAACTGACAAAGGCTTTAATCATACCAGTAAAACGTGGCTAATTTTATTGCTATCAGCTGACCAGTAACTGTACATGATAAATAAGAACTAGACCGTCTGAAAAAAATGCAAACAAGCTCGGGTTTTTGATAATACRTCCTATTCATTTGTAGATTGGGTATCTCTACGAAGATGGTTGAGGAAGACCTTGTAAAGCTGGAAATTATTTTAATAATAATAGTAATAATAGCCATTCTGACATTATACGGATATTTCTGTATATATAAAAAAACATCTAAAGACCAAGATTTTTTTTCGCCTGGTCCAGTCAAGATGTCAAAGCACCGTTGCACTCACAAATGGAAAATGACAGATTTTACTTTTGAACATTGTGTGTTGAAATCGCTAGAAGGAAGAGACATCTGGCGCGTGAGATTGAAAAACAGTTGCCAACGAGTCAACGTTCAACTTGTGCCGGGATGCGACTGTGTTGAAGTTCACCGTTGGACGGTCAACTCGGTAACGGAGAAAAAAGGAGAAACATCATTTGTATAATCACATCTCTGCCGGAACTGAAACTGAACTACTTGTCATATAAAACTTATATGGCGCCAATAACCGCGATGGCACATATCGATGACTGTCAGGTGCAGTTACTTTGATAATAGAACTATATGCTAGCGGTATATTTTGTATATAAAAGCTCATCATAACATGTAAAAGAATCAATTTATCAAAAAAATCGCTGCTTTATTTGAATAAAGCAGAATGAAATGTCTGAAATATGAATACCTAATTCTCTAAATGTCCCACAACCAGGTCCTACAATATCCGATCTTTGGACTCATATTGTTCGTCCGCCTGCTTCGTCCAGTTCAACTCATCGAATTCACTACGTGCCGGTTTGATCAAGTTATACGTTTTTAGGAGCCGAAATCTTCATCACAGAATGTCTCTTGGAAATCTTCGTTTTAATTTTTCTTATTTTTCAGTATTTATATCTTTTCATTTTTATGCTTGAGGATGTTTGAAGGGGTGCAACACATCGTGTCTTAAATGCTTTAATTCATTATATTATTTCTTAATTATAATAATATTTTTTTCTTGTTTGTTTGTTTTAAATTGATCTGGAAATGAATGAGATTCCTGTGGTTAGACAAAGGAGAGTTCATTGTCGAGTTCATTAATTAAAAAAAGCTGAAATAAACGTAGAAGAATTCGAATGGATGTAAACAGGATATGAATTCTTTGTACCTTGACTTTTTTTCTATTTTCGTCCTTCATTTTCCTACTTTGCTGGGCTACCTGTGATTTTCTACGGCGAGCAACGCCTTGTATATTTTGGCCCTAGTAGTGCAAAAATGGGTCGAAGAATTATCGTAGTTCTGGCAATTTTAGCCGTTTTTTCTGCAGTTCTTATCCATCAGTTGCACAAGCGGATATATGGGCTGCCCGTTCCAGATGGCCTTAATCCCAATTCAACGTT